AACTCGGCAATATCCTTTGGGCTGTCGCTTGGGATGAAGCCATCACGCAGAAGCATCTGAATACCCTTCTTCGGCTTGAAATTAAATTGGTTAATTCCTTTCATCAGCGCCGTCTTCCTTGCTTTTTCCTTCTCCAATTGATCCGGGTCATCCTCCAATATAGGGGTTGATGGTGGTAGAGGAGTTTCGACACGAGAGATGCTGTCATTGATGCTTGGATCAATTGACGGTCGAAGGTCGAGAGAAGCCTTGGGGTCGTGGTTTTCAGAACGTGGAGGCTCTGGATCACCTCGTATAGGTGCCGACCAGTTCACCATAGATCGTAAAGTCTCAACTAAAGCTTCGATAGATAGGCGCTTGATTGCATACTCTTTAGGATAGTCAGGTTCGGTTTCCTGATGAGGAGCAATATGAGCAACGGTCAGAGGGGGCGGGAGTGTTGCCTTGAGCTGCCACTCGCTCGCAGGCGTTGTCTTCAGTCGCATCTCTTCATAGACTTGTTCGTTGATTGTAGTAATAGTAAGCGGAGTGGTGGAGAACTTTGATAGGTCTTCGATGATGGTTTGGTAAATATTATCAACTGTCTGGTCACAGTCGTAATTAAGGTAAATTTCAACAAGCGCCTTAGGATCAGCGCATAATCTGTTCAGAATTGTAACAAACTGCAGCTTTTGAGAAAGAGGCGCAGTCCTTCGCGCAAGCAGTGCTAGGTAGATTTCATTCAAAAACACCTCGATTTCTTTCTGTCATCCGTGTAAGTTATCTCATCTTTTACGCGCATGTGTCAGTCTTACCTTGAAGTCGGCGCGCATATATTTGATCATCAGCCAGAAGATTTCGCTGCTAACATTGAATATTCGGTCCACAGAGCTGGCACCGTTGCGGGTGATACTCAGACAAAGATAGAACTTGATAGCCTGAAGAAAGCTCGTAGGCTCGCCGCTTTTTGAATTCTTTATAGTACAAAAGGGAGAGGTGAAAACTGCAATGTTGTTGTTAAGAAGGGTGTGAATAAGGTGAAGAGAAATGAGTTTGGAGCGCATTGGCTGGCCACGGACGTCGTATAGCTGATCGGGTGGCAGAACCTTGGTTGACAGGTTGCAAAAAGAGCGAAAGACGAGGTAAGCATCACGGATGTAGACCTCGTCCTCAGCATCCAACACTTCACCATCTTCCGGAGGTGAAGACTCCTGGCCAGCCTGGTCAGAGACCGGGGTGCCTGTTTCCTTGCGCTCGGGTTGAAGTCTCGTTACCATGGTAGGACCGTCGCCTAGGTTTGAGTCGTCAAAGCTCTTGCGATGCTCGAGATCTTTCAATGTAAGCTTGGCACCACTCTCGGGAGGTTCGGCCGATGCATTCACAGCTTCGGAGTGCTCAGCTGGGGATTCGTCGCGGTCGTTATTGTCATTGGCACCGTTGGGGGTATCGGCCTGGTCGAACGTGGCATTGCTGGCTCCATGCTTGAGATGCTCCAGGTTCAGGCGAGCCTCCTTCATGTGTAATCTCGTCTTGACTCGTTCAAAAACGGTACCGACCATCTGGGTCAAGGTCCCCTGAGCAACCTGCTGGTTGGCCGTGCTCCGCGACAACAAAAAGACATTATACACTTGACGCACGGCCTTGAGGAGACCAGCGCCATGAACGACAATTTTGTCATTGAGAACGGCGGCAAGTAAGGACTTGACAATCTGAAGCTGGATCTCAACAGCAGTCGTTTCGCCTTGGAAGCAATTACATATCGTATCAATCGCTCGCTCGATCAGGGGAGGGACAGGTTCGGCACCCTCCTCGGTTCCCTCGGGGGGGTTACTTGGAACGGAAAAGTACGAGTATGAGATGAGCTTGCCGATGCAATCGAGTGCGGTCGTAGTAAGCTGTACATTCGTAGAGCGTGAAGCTAGTTGTAGAGGAGCGAAAACGATCTCGGGATCAGGAAGCTGGTCCTGTTCTTTGATGGCGTCAAGTGCTTTGGTAGTAGAGTCGGCCAGTTGCTTGTTGCGCTGAGCATCCTTGGACGAGGCAATGGCCTCAAGTGAGGACACTACAAATTTGAGGGAGCTCATGGGGGAGCGCAAAAGGGGCCAGTGGCCATTCGCTTAGGGTACAGAGAGAGTCGAGAAGATCGAAGTCGAATGAGAGAGGTTGTAAAGTTGACGTCGCTCCCAGGGCAATTAAAGAAAGGAGACGTGGGCGCTGTGGGAGAGGGAGCTAAGTTCATGTGCCTCCAACGTAACGTTTAAAGTCTCGGCGCAGCCTACAGATTGAACTGTATGGCAAAGGTCAAATGCAGCTGTATGTATACAGATTGGACAGAAGCCAACCAAAATGATGGGAGAGAGAAAAATAGCCCGCGTCTTGGTGTTGTTGTCAGCTTCCGACCTTCTCAAAGCTATTACACTGTAACAAGTACAGTACCAGGGGTACGAAGTCAAAGTGGACAGCGTTTCCAGAGGCTCCGCTTCCCGAAAATGAGCTCTAACTACGGGACCCCTAGCCCAGGGAAGGCCTCGTAAGCTGCCCGCCAATTAGCGGCCAAGAATGGATATAGTGTCTTCTCAGACAAGGTACCGTACCAGTACAACTTTCTAAGTAAGTCATCTGGACAGCCACATGTGGCTAAGTATATGTTTACCTACCCTTAACCTGCAGGAAAAAGATTCACGGAGACAAATGTAGAACTATTTTTGCTGTGCTGCCTAGATCTATCAGCAGAGAAATCGATAGGGCTTACTTAAATGAACAATCGTAGAACTTCTCTCACGGAAGACTGATTCAATTATATTTTTATTTCCGTTTAAGGCATATGCCAACAGTCGAATACAGCTTAGTCAAAGTCTGCCGGTGTATATGAGCCAACATCATCAGAGACATTCCTTAGTGAGCAAGAAAACTTCGGCATTTAACAAAGGGGCCAAAAATAAGCACCCTAAAGACCTCCTAAGTGGCTATCAAATTTGCTTAAGTCTATCCTAAGCTTACCTAAGCTTTTTGTCACGCAAGTTCTCTGGCCTCCCCTAGACCTAACTCTGAGAAGTCTCCGAATACAAGTCAGCAAAATGGAACAGAAACTGCCCTATCCGTCTCAAATGCTCGATTCGGCAAAGAGGCACTTGACTCTGCTCGACACCACCATACATGAAGTCAAGCAGTTCATCCAAGCTCTGCAATTGAAATCTAGGTCTACATCTGGCTTACCAACTTTCTTACGCACATTGGAACGGGAAAATGTAACATTATGCAACCTCGTCACTGAATTATCAGTCTCAAGTACAAATCTTGATGATTTGCAGCTCACAAAGCGAGAACAGAAGCTTGATGCGAGTGCCACTACAACGACGCAGAGCATCGCTCAGTGGAACCGTCTTAAGAAAAGTCATAGCTTCGTTGCTATAAATCAGTCCTTCCAGGGCTCGTCAAAGGATTTGCGAAAACGGGAGATCCAAAAACGACAGGTCTCAGGGCAGGAGAAACACAATCTGCACCGACTTCTAAAAGAACAAGCTCGCGTTGAAGTCGATGTTGTTCAAGAAGGACGAGAATGGATTGCTGCTAAAGCCATCTCTCGCGATAGACTCGCTCGCCAGTTGAACGATAGCGGCTGGGGCTGGGGTGACCATGAACTCGGTGATGAAGTCGACCGGGATGAGTGGGAGGATACCCCTTTGGCCAAATACGTACAACGGCTAGTAAATGCTGCAAGAATGAACCGTCATGAATACAGATTCCCTCAAATACGTCTGGTTCTGACTGGTCTTAGTCGAGGTGAAAGGGAGCTTGACATAGTCCTTGATCAACTAGAACACATTGATCCACTGGTCAAAGTCATCATCGAAGATCAGGATAGTGACTTTGTCGCAGCATCCCCTCCTCCGCTTGACGAAGCTATTGACAATATGGTTGGCAATGAGCTTGCATCACTCACATCCACCATCAACCTCGATCACACCATCCTCATCGATCTTATTTCCGACTTGACTCACCTCAGACTTGAACCCCAACCGTGGCAGTCGCGTACGACGCGTGCCCAGATAGACGAAGAGAACTCTCATGAAGGGGGTCTCATGTCTCGTGTGTTGTACCCGGTGTTAGCAGGTCGCAAGCTCCTATGTACCCGTGAAGCAGCGGATCATTTTCACGATGTACTACGAACTGTTGGCACCGAGACTGAGCGCGAGCGAGGGAGGTTGCTGGTTCCTTGGGGTGACGATTTGAAACAAATATCTTCGGACCTTACGCGGCAGCGTTTTCAGCAACTCACCATTTACCCCTTACCACCTGATGTTCAAATACCAGTTTCTGTAATCGATGAAGCATGGGATATGAAAGCTATTGATTGTGGTATTTCCAACGGGAGCCTTCCTCAGGTCGCCCAGGATGTGGCTTTGAGTAGCGGCTTCAAGAGCTCCAAGCTGTCTATCTTCATGTACGGGTGGGCGGCTGGCCTCACTACTGTTACGAGCAACAAGGAGGTCCGAGGGCAAATCCGAACTTGGGTGGAGGCGCATCGCAAGAGCGATGAAGAAACTGGGCCCCAGATATTTCGATTAGAAGTGACGAGGAACCTATTAGCCAAAGCTGCAAAGCCCAGAGAGGGATGGCAAGAGAAGGGTGAGGCTGATGGTAACGATGATGAATCATGATGCGTGGACTATGCGTATCATATACAGAAATGTTCAAGGCGTAGACAGGTAGACTAATACATTAACTGGCAAGACTGGGTATGAATCAATATCCAAATCTTGATTGATAAGATAAGTCCGATGTCGTAGTCATTGCACTAAGGAGTTGACGTCTTAAATCCTCAATGTCCACGTATGTCCGAGCATTATATAGTAATCGGACCAACCCTCAACCGAATCTTACTCCGACAGTCTAGAATCATTTAAGATTTACACTAATAATCAGCAGGAATCGCCTGCTTCTGCATCAGCAACTGCTGGGGGATCTTTGCCATTTCCCTATAGGGTTAGCTTACATCACTGTCACTTATAGAATCTCGGTCTTTTGGCTCGGTCTTTTGCATCTCCACTGACTGATACTGCCCATACCCCCAGCCATGGTATCACAGACATATACTTCGAATTACAACTTTTCTCCAGACTGTTCGCATTGTTGAATTTGCCGTGTCTCGCTGTTTTTTTTCTTGGCCGAGTTCTCTGAGCTCGATCCATCAAGTATGCCCGGCAATTCACCCCCAATCACACTCTCAACCCCCAGCTTCTTCTTTAATAGTCCGCTGGATGTAAGTCAGGAGATCCTTACAGAACCGACAGACCTGCAGGACACTTCCTTTGATCTGCCGGCCGAGACAGCAACTGCCGGTGGTGGAACCGTGTCTTCGGCCGCTAAGACGGAGAAGAAGCGGCGCCGGCCGGCCCTCTCGTGTGAGCAATGCCGGCGCCGCAAGATTCGATGTGATCGTAGTCTACCTTGTGTGAACTGCGTCAAATCTAAGATATCACCTTGCACTTATGCCCCAACTCACATACCGGCTTCACGTGCCAAGAAAGGCACAGGTCATGCTGGTGCTTCAGACTCAAACTCCCAGGTGCCGGCCAGGTCGGCCCCAGCCATTGGGTCTACCCAGAGACAGTCTCCATCAAATTCATCTGCAAGACGAACGTCTTCTAGCATTCCAAGCTCAACAGTAGGATCCAACTCCGATGCCTCCACGGTTGATGCCCTGGCTGCGAGAGTCAAGGAGCTGGAGCAGAAGCTAGCCGAGTCTTGCTACATCACGCAACCAGCAGAAGACAAGTTTATACAGCCTGACGACCAGGAAGCGGACTCGGCTCCTATGAAGGGGACTGTATCTAAGACGAGGTTCTTCGGTCAAAGCCACTGGATGAACGGCATTCATATGGTCAGTAGCCCATTTCACGAAACAGAATCTTCCTAACTAAATTTCATAGTTTCCCGGTGTTTTTGATATGCTCAAAGAGGCAGAGTCTCGCAAGAATCAACACCACGGTGGTTTTGTCAAATGCAAAGCTCTGGGCCGCACTATCAAAGCAAATCGTTCCAAACCTGTGTCGACTGACAAGTTGGGCGAAAATATTCCTGAGCGTGGCCTTGCTGATCAGCTTGTTAATGCCTATTTTGACACCTTCGAGGGCGTGGTTCGGATTCTTCATCGTCCAACCTTCATGTCAGAGTATGAGCGCTACTGGCAGAATCCTGAAGCCTCCAGTCAGGTTTTTCTTATGCAGCTTCAGTTGTGCATGGCCATCGGAGCAACTCTACACGATGATGTCTTCAGCTTGCGTGCGACTTCTATGCACTGGGTCCATGAGGCTCAAATCTGGCTTATGATACCACCTGAGAAGAGCAGAATGACTATCGCTGGTATTCAGATCATGTGTATGCTGGTCATCGCCAAAGCATGTTGTGCGGTTGGCCAGGACCTTACTTGGGTTTCGGCAGGGAGTCTGGTCAGACAGGCTATGTACATGGGATTGCATCGGGACCCAAGGCATCTTGGTAACATGTCCGTTTACCGTTCCGAGATCCGTCGCCGCCTCTGGGCTACCATCCTCGAACTCAATCTACAATGCTCCTACGATGCTGGAGGCCCCCCTCTTCTCTCCTCGAAACACTACGATACACGGCCCCCAGCAAATTTGAATGATGATCAACTCACAGACGAGCCAGACTCAGATAGAAAACCAACTGGCGATCCCGAGACTCTGACTGATATGTCAGTCCAGCTCGCTCTTCAAAAGTCCTTTGCTCTTCGCCTCATCATTATCAAGCATGTCAACGAATTTAGATCCAAGGAGTCATACGCCGAGACACTCCGGCTGAACTCCGAACTCACAAAGGCATGCCGGACATTAACAGAGACACTTGCTGCTCTATCGGAAGCCCAGAGGCACCAGCCACGAACTATCTTTACCCACTTCCACAGTTCTCTTGTTCAAATGTTCACGTACCGCTGCTTCCTCTCTCTTCATCAACCGATGGTCGCCCGCTCCGCCCTGGATCCGACCTACTACTACTCTCGCAAAGTATCCCTCGATTCGTCTCTGAAGCTCGCGCAGATCACTGGCCTATCGACACCTCGCTACGGTACTTCTTCCCCTGGAGGCTCCCTGGACCCTGCAGTCAGTTTTAACCGCCTTATCACAAACGGAGCAGGTGTGTTTCGTGTGATTCCAACTCAAACGCTTTTCTCCGTTGCACTCGAGTTTATCAAGAAGTCAGAGGAGCAGAATGATAGCCTCGGCGGCGGCCCTGTCATGAACCTTTTTGAACTTCGCGCTGTTCTCCAAAGTGCGCAGACTTGGCTCGAGAGACGGATACGTGCTGGAGAGACAGGCGTAAAAGGATATTGCTTCGTTGTTGCGTCCCTCGCCCTCGCCGAGGCCCTTGAAATGGGACTATCGCAGGAAGACGTTGATCAAGTAGTCGTTGATACAGGAGCAAGTATGAGTATAAAAGCCTACGACTTGCTGAAAGAAGTTGCCGAGAGGGAAGGTTTATCGCTTGGTGAGCCTGAAGACGAAGAGGCTATACACATCGATGTGCCAGCGATTGATAGCGATGCCATGCAGGGCATTATGGAGATGCCCTTTGACTGGATGGTAATGGGTGGTGACCTTGGTCTAGATGGAATGGGAGCGTTCAACTGGGCTCGAGGTGGCATGGGTATGCCTCAGCAGTTTGACTCCGTCGATCCATCAGTTGTATCACAATTTTGAGACTGGCGTTGAGGGATCTGTAATGACTTGACGATGAAGGAAAATCTCACCTTATGTATTAATGTACCTGGGCACTTGACATGGCAGCCTCTCCTCTACTATATTTACTTGCCTTCTGACCATCAAACATGCCTCAAAGCCTCGCCAATTTCCATGCGGATCCTAGTAGGCTACTACAACATCTTGCCTGCTGGAACTTGGTCAAGATGACCCATGTTAGCAATTGCTTCGCACAGACCAAGCTATTGATCGCTTGAGGAGAGAATCGTATATTTAAGTTTTGTCGTGATATATGCAGTGTAGACACAGTTTAAGTAGTCATATCTGGCGGTCGTAAAGCAGTCAACAGGAGGAAACATATAATGAGGGCATATGCAATAGATTCTTTGTCCAAAACACCCCCCAAGTTCGAAAAGATATAACATTATTAATCAATGGTCATTGTACACGGGCTTTTCCAGCCTCGTAAATCTTCCACGAATGCTGCGGCGTGATCAGGCGAAGAAGCTCTGTGGGTGTCCTCATAGATGCTCATCATCGTCGTGATTCACCGATCCTTACCCAGGAATGCTCTCATGGGTGTCCCCACGATATCCCAAGTAAACTCCTTACCGCATCTCCGTCCCTCAGAGGTCATCTCCTCCTGTTCTATAAAAAAGTCATTCCTCGCTCGACCAGCCCTTTCGTCTTTCCCAGCATAATTCGGTTTTCAGGGGCCACTTGACGTCCTACCCCTGATTTACAGAAGAAGCTCAAGAGGGTTCTCAAGAACCTGCTTGAGCTCCTTGAGCCACTCAGCACCGACAGCACCGTCAACGACCTTGTGGTCGAAGCTAGCAGTAAGGGTGATTTGGTCGTCGAACTCAACGCCGGCCTCGTTCTCGGCGGGGATGGCAACCTTCTTGGTGGTACCAACAGCGAGGATGGCAGCCTGGGGAGGGTTGATGACAGCGGTGAAGTGGTCAACAGCGGGGTTCATGCCCATGTTGGAGATGGAGATGGTACCACCCTGGTACTCCTCAGGCTTGAGCTTGCCATCACGAGCCTTCTTGGCGAGAGACTTGACCTGGCTAGAGATGGCCTCGAGGCCACGGCCCTCAACACCGGTGACAATAGGGGTGATGAGACCAGTGGGTGTGGAAACGGCAACAGAGACGTCGACGTTATTGAACTGGCGGATGTTGCCGTCGCGCCAGCTGGAGTTGACCTGGGGAACCTTGCGGCTGGCGACAGCGATAGCCTTGATCAGGAAATCGTTGACGGAGAGCTTGTACTTGCCATCGGCAGAGCTGTTCAGAGCCTGGCGGAGCTTGAGGAGCTTGCTGACGGAGATGGAGCTGGTGACGTAGAAGTGAGGGTTGGTCTGGGTGGACTCGACCAGACGGTTGGCAATGGTCTTGCGCATGCCGCTGATGGGGATGTCCTCGTAGGTAGCGCTGGGGGCGCTGCTGGCGGCGGGGCTGCTGATGGCCTTCTTGACATCCTCCTCGGTGATCTGACCGTTCTTGCCGGTACCCTTGAGCCCATCGATGCTAATGCCCTTCTCACGGGCAAGTCGCTTGGCGGAAGCAGAGATGTTGGGGAGACGGTCGAGAGCAGTCTGGAGACGGCCCTGAGACTGGTATTGTTGAGGCTCAGGAGTAGGCTCAGGGGCGGAAGCGGACTCAGACTTGGACTCGGACTTCTCCTCCTTCTTGGGGGCAGCGGGCTTAGCGGCATCACCACCAGCGTCCTCGATGGAGAACTTCTCGAAGGCGGAGATATCGGTACCCTCCTCAACAAGGACGGCAATGGGCTATATCAAAGAATTGCATGTTAGTGACATGATTTAATAGCAGTGAGTGATATTAGGCGCTGGAGGTAGATACCCCGAGGCCCGAGAGGTGACCTGAGTGGTTTCAAAAAAGTGAAGAACTTACGCTGCCAACGGGAATATCCTTCTCACCAGCATCCTTGAGGATCTTGGCAATGACACCCTCCTCCTGGAACTCGAAGTCCATCTGGGCCTTGTCGGTCTCAATCTCTACCAGGACATCACCAGGGGCGATAGAATCGCCGGGCTTCTTCTGCCAGGCGCCAATGTTACCAGCCTGCATGGTGGGCGACAGAGCGGGCATCTTGATGACCTGGTGCTCGGGGAACGAGGCATAGTGTCGCACAACGTGGGCAGCGAAGCCGGTTCGCAGGGCGCTGTGGGTAGGGGCGAGAACGCGCCTTCGGAGAGCGGCGCTGAGCATTGTGGAAGGTATTAAGATCTTTCTGAAGGACGGAGATGTTAGTCGGTGATGAGCATGGGGGGGAGCGCGAATATGAACATGGCTGAGCCACTTTTGGGGATTTTGGGGGTTCTGAGAAAAGGACTCACCGGCCGGAAGGGCAATTGAAAGCAGAAGTATCGAGATGCGTGACTTACGGTCACGAACAGAAACTCGAGGAGCGGAGCGAAGAGATCAAGGACGGAGAGTGATGCAGCTCTGGCGTGAGAAGGAGAGGGAGAGAAAGAGTCGGGATCGGAGGAAATTCTTGGGGTTGGATAGACGTGGAGTTTTTTGCATGTTGAGCTCCGAAGAGTGAGGTACTTTGAAGCTTTGGCGTGGGCTAAACCATTTCGGGACTCAAAGTGGCTGCAGGGGCCTTGAAGAGAACCCAGCGTTGGTGGTCCTCAAGTTCCGATGCGACCGTTGAGAGGACAACATTTGGGCAATTTCAGGGCATTTGGTAGCATTTCTCAAAGATTTTAGGGGATCGATGCACTGTAAGCCACTGAGCTCTAGCCCTCATACACGGGACTGGGATGACCCGCCAAATTGGAAGGATTGGAGCTCGCAACAAAAAAAAAAAGGGACGTGGACGCCATCATGGTACCTTGGGTTCGGGGGATCATTACGCGATATGAGCGAAGTCCGGGTGAACAAGAAGAGCGAACAACGGCATGTGTAAGTCATTGAGAGTTATCAGTGTTATAGCTGAAGCATTTCTTTTGCCAATTGCCCTCTATTATCCCGCCCAAGTCCCCCAGCTTGACCGACAGGTTTAAACCTCAATACTTCCTGATATTTATGTTGAGACAATTATCAAGGCCCTGCTGAAGTATCTTATCTCACACTCCGGAGTTGCTGAATTTTCTTCGGGCAAATTGTCCCATCCTGACTTCGGGACAGATCGGCCCGGATCATGGTGGGGGGTTCAATTGGTCGATTTTTACCTAAGTGTTTGAATATCCACGGAAATAAACACTCTGGAGAAGACCCTTGACGACTTCAACAGCCAGATGCACACGTTTCCTCCATATGGAGAAGAAGCATTGCTAATAAAGTTGCGGGGTGTCGTGACATGAAACCCGTGATGCTATATGGGCCCATTCGTGGGCAGATGTTTCTGAGCATCAATGACTTGCTGTCATGAGCAGAGCATGATCGGTCACTGTGCAAGTAGTCGATGATTATCAAAGATTCAGTGCCAACTCATGATCATTAAAGGAAGAAATCTAAATTATCATCATTACATACATCTAATATGCGAGGTATCAAATCATCTTTATACTTTTCCACGCTCTCGTAGGCCATTACAATCTCAACTTCCACCCGCCCACCATACTTTCACCATCTCTTTGGGTACGCTCAATGCTGATGAGATGGATCTCTTTCTATTCGGTCCATTGCTCCCCGAGGAGCCCTTCGAGTCCTTTGAGCCCTTAGAACTCTTCGATTTTGAATTGTTTGTGTGTCCTTTAGTGACCAGCACCGATTTCCTTTGGGTACCATCTTCCCCAAGCAATCCCGTTCCTTGACGAACCACTCCGATCCTCTCCTTCACCGGCTTTGGTGGTGGTTTTGGAGGAGGCAATGGTCTCAATTCCACTTCCTCTGGTATATGCTCCTTGGGAACGATTGCACGGATTCCAAAGTTGCCTTCTTCCTTCTTTGCCCGGCCATCACGTCCTCTACCTCGCCCTTTACGGTCAAATCCAAGCTGGAATCGTTGTGGGGTATCTCCCTCGGTGAAAATGGCTTCAAGCTCACTGTCTGGCTGCCATTGTGCGGCTCGGGGTAGTGATTTGAAAAGATTGCCATCAACGAGAAGTGCCGTAACAGATGCAATGGTCGTTGGCGAACGAGGAAGCCTAATCCGTCTCCAATAGATCCACGAGATGATATGAAGAAGCATCAAGGCGCCCACGATACCCTGTAGAATTCGTGTGGCGATCGCATCCTGTCGAAGGCGAACACTCTCTGTAACTTGACTACCGCTGATAACTGGGACGGCCTGAGAAACCGGCTCATCAGGATCAATACCACTGACAATATTTGTCCCATCTGCGACTGGAAATGTTCCTCTTGAAGACAAATGGCGTCGACTTCTGAAGTTCAATGACTGTGCCCTTATAATTCCGTGCTGAGATAAGATAGCAGACTGGACCTCGTTTGCGGCACTGGGAGTTGAGCTACCGAATGTACTGTCGGGTACGGCGAACTGAGATGCGTTCAACATTGCAAAAAACGTGTCAAGGAGACCATCTGAAGTTACGTTGATGAGCTTTGAGTAATCGAGTTCTGGAATGGCGACGGTCGTGTCCTGGGCGGTGCTTTCGACCGGAATAGGCTGATGGTCCGGATAGAGACGTAGATCGTTGGGTCCGTGGAAGAGAGCAACGACATCAACTGCTTCAATGGATTCGTTACAGGCAAGGGCATTGATGCTGCTCACTGACATGTCACTACTGCCCACATCGACTAGCTCTCCCCATATGTATAACCAGTCTGAACAATGTGGCGATGACGTTGTCTTTCTCAAGCCGACACCGAAGAGTGTATCTCTACTCAGGCTTCTGCCATGCTGTGCAGGAAATGAAGTCGTTGTCGTCCCAATAATTGCGTTACTACCATTGCGCTCTCCACTTCCTCGGCAGGTCTCGCCTTCGAGATCGACACGAAGTGGATTGACTATCCTGTCGTCAAGTTTGTACTCGAGGGTGAGATTGGTGGAAATCTCGTCGGATTGGTATAGTCGGCATGACATGTTTGGGCGGATTGCCGTGAGTCGTGCACTGAACGTGAGATCGTTCCCCTCGACCGCTTCGGCTAGCGACATATTCGGTACGTTGAGATTTGCATAGGTGAAAGGGGGATATGGTGCGTCGCCCGCCAGTATCAGCGATGCCATGATGGTATCGTTGGTACAGTCAGTACAGATAGGATCGTCGCTGGAGGATGCTAGACTGTTGGCGAAGAAGTCCTCGGTACGCAAAGCAATAATGGTGTTCTGCCCTACTGGCATCGGCTCAAACAGAGGAGCAGTTGCGACTACCATGAGAAGCGCAACAAATCCACCAGAGATGGCGGCCAGGGCAGCAATATCTCGGATCTTAAGAGCCCTTGACCACGCGACATGCCTCAATGCATTCACAAGATTGAGTCCGACCGTTTCCTCAAACTCTCCTCGGCGTGAGAGATGCGAGAATGGTGAAAGAAGTCTTGTCCACCATTCTAAGGACAGCATGTACATTGCCACTAAGAGAAGCACCAAGGCTGGTACTACAGTCCATGCGATGTACGCTCCATCGTCCTTCATCGTTCTTAGCCCATCATTTCTCTGCGACACTCGTAGGGAGATCTCGAATCCTATTATGATACAAGCAAGAACAAGGATGTAGATCAACCGAATCAGTCCATGTAATGTAACGGGCTGTCTCCAGCCTGAGGAATCGAAACGGCGTGGTAGAACGTTCGCAGGAGGCGCGTTGCCTCCAAAGATATGGTAATAGCCCAGGTTGGGATTCTCCAACTTTTCGTGACCCTCAGCTCCGCTCAGGTAGGTCGAGCCATCAAGTCTTGCTCTCAAAGCCTTGTTGGGTGCAGCTCCCATGCCTTTCAGACATTCTACCAGCGGGTGGCTATGTGCCACAACTGAAGCCATTCCAACGATGGTGCTGGGATCTCGTGGGAGGAAGCCTTTCCTTGGAACGAGGAACATTGTCGACACTACCAGAACGAAGCAGATAGCTAGAAATGCAGTTATGATGTATGCTGGCACCGGTCGTACAACAATACGTCGTTCAATGTAGCTCGCGATAGCTGTTGACGTGCTTGATGAAGGCTTCATCATGGCATATCGAGCAACGAGGGCCGAATACTGCGTGAAGAAATTCTCGGAAAGTCTTCTCAAAGTATCATTCTCTGTTAAAGATTCCAGGCTAGGCAAATCCCCTCCATTCCTTGAGCTTAGTGCGAGGGCAGCTGACATAGCTTCGTCGGTATCAAGAATGGCTTCTCGACTGTACGATGAGTTCGTGAACGTTGCCAATAACTTCAGTTCTGTTGCTTGGTCTGATTCAAAGGTGTCAAACATAGCTCGAGCGACGGTCCATGCTGGCACTTGACTGAGTGTGGTATTTGTCGCCTGTTGGTCGGGTATGACTGAGAGAACGGCTTCTGGCGTCTTGGTAACCTTGATCCTGGTGATAATGTAGTTAGGCTTACATAGAAATGCAGCAGATGACGATATTTTTCCATCAAGGCGATTATTCGATGTCCTTGACTGGCGCTTGAGCTGATCAATATCGACATCCAGAACACCAGCCATAACAGCTATTCGCTGATCATCGCCTTTTGCAGAATTTCCACATCGACCTGGTTGAAATGCAAGAAACATTCTTGAGGGATCTTCGTTATTTGTGGTAACGAGTTTCGTGCTTGTAATCGTTTGATTTGAGGAACATTGTCCATTCGATAGGGTCATGTTCAACAACATAGCATTCCCATTTCGTAATCGCATAGAGTCCAAAGTTAACTCGGCTTCTTCACAGTCCATGCCACCTATAAAACCGTCCACACGTGCTGTGATCTGTTTCAGTTCGGGGATATCGCTTATAAATGGCGTGTAAGCTGCTCGAGATGTAACTCCGTTTGGAAAAGTGATATTGTCAACTGCAAGAGCTGCAAGAGTGAAATACGGCAAAGACCCAACGTTTTCCAACCCGGAAATGTTGTTGGAGAACTCGGATTGAATTGTTGTAGCGATCTTGTGGTTGGCAACCGTGGTGACTTTGGGTGTGATGAAAGCCACAGAGAAAATGACCATTATTTTGAAGATTATGCCAGCGATAACTGGAATCGTTACTAGCCAGTCCTTGTTTTTAATTGATTTGAAGATGGCCACCGGTTCAGAAAGAGAAACGTAATCCAGTAAGAGAGACTTGTCAGCTTCAACCTGTGTGTTCAACATGCGGATCCACGGCATGGAAGCAGAAGCCTGGAACTCAACTCTGTACCAGAAAGCGGCCACGAGAATAAATATTATAGTTGTTCCATATTGCCACAGATATCTCGAAAGATCGTCGGACTCGTGAAGGCCTCCATTGTGTTCAGATAACTGAAGTGCGACTTGCACTCCTGCTATCAAAACAACAAACACAAGAGCATAGATGGCCAATATTCGTCGATGCAGAAAGACTGGGCGCCATGGTAATTCAATTTGAGTAGGTTCGGATGGCGAAAGGCGCGGTGAATCAGGGAAAGCCTGGCTCATCCGCGATTTGATGCTTCCCAGAAAAGGCCATCGTATTCCGCTGCTTCTTGTTGGTGAAGGATTATTACTTGGATCAAAAGGAGCAGCAGAGCTGGCCAATCTTTCGGAATCGAAGAACGAAGCGACGTTTCCGTGCTGGGAGCCTGAAAAAGCTGACCCAAGCCGGTGCGAGTCTGATCTTCCTAAGCCACTTGAAGATCCAGGTTCTGAAGAATTCTCGACTCCATGGACGGCGCGGATATGTCGATGGTACGAGTCAACGGGTTGACGTATCATTGGACGAGGAAGCTTCGTACTTTGTTCCGCTTGAGGTTCCATCGTCGATAAAGATTTGTGTGATTATCTGGAGTGTTCAGTATTGAGCATGGTCGTTTCATTATCGTATTTGGCAGCAAAACCATGATGCCGAAGAATATGCTACCGTGGAGTTTTCCCAAGATTCTATATCGCCATGTTGAGAGAGCATTCGTAGCAGAAAAAGTCGTAAAACAGGTTCTCGTGAAATAGAATTGAAGCAGATGTGACGTGATGAAACGTATCAGAAGTGGAAGAGGAAGAGAGTGACGAAGACAAAAGAATGAATGCAGCCAAGGCCAGGACTGGAAAACAATTGGAAGAAGCTTTTCAACGAAAGACGTAAGGTAGGTAAGCAAGAAGCAAAAACAGACAGAAGTGCAAGTGACTAGATGCCAGTGACGAAGTGACGAAGGAGAAGAAGAGAAGAGACAAATCACATTGGAAGATTGATATCAAGGCCTTCCTTGTTCGCATAAGTCGACTACTCTATACATAATGCCAGCAGAATACATAGAACACCTAGAATAGGGAGGGCCCAAGGTAACAGAGAGCTAACGCCCTACTCTAATACAGTTTTACAAGGCCAAGCAGGCGAGCACTTGCATGTCTGCAGTTCCCCGTCCCATGTCTTGGTCGGAGGAGCCTCAAAATGTCATCGCTTCTCCGTGTCATAAGGAGACGGCAGCCCACAAGAGGATAAGCCGAGTCTATATGAAACACGCCCAGCAGGGGTATTCTCCTTGAGTTCCGAAGACCTGGCAGCACAGCAGACGTTAGTTTCAATTATTGGCCAGGGTATTCGATAGCACTGCAACCCTATGATTTCAATGTTTTTCGTCGCTTGCGATGAGGCGTTTAGGACTGCGGTAGACCGTCCGCTGCTGTTTCTTAGCAGCCGCAGGTTATGGGCAAGGGTGGTTACATGCGCGGAGAAATATCTTTCGAGGAGGACACTATCGTCTCGTGAGCATTTAGCTCAGGGCGAATTGCCCAAAAAGACGCTGTGTTCCCCAGATGGAATGGAATGGGGGGGGGGGGACTTTGCCTGCATAAAGTGAGGATACCCCTGCTATCCATGCGCTTGAACAAATCACTCACAGGCGAAATTATACCCATGACTTGGCGCGTTATGGCAATGCTGAAGATTATCACCGGAAAATAAATCCTTGCCTTGTTCAATTAAACAAGCTGCAGGTGCCTGTATGTTAGTAAACCAAACATTTTGACAAGAAACGTTTCTCGCGAAATGAGCGGCATTTATTTTCTGGCCCTGGACTTGATAAATTAACAGGGCGAAAGTGCCCCGTCAGGCTGATGCTGTAATCATCGCGTCGTCAGATATAATACTTTTTCTAATAAGCGACAAGGATGAGACAGAACTTGTGTGCTGTCGCCGCCAACAAAGGTGTGATGTGATCCATGTATTAGGTTGTGTTTTGTTGGTGTTGGAGCATAGCCACACCCGAATTCACAGCGCAGTCCCTTGAAAGCCAGGAAAGAAATATACTTCAACTATCTAAGGTAGCCAGATACTGTGAATGCGGTGGTTCGGCTGAATCGTGAATGCCTTACTCCCGATAATCCGGAAGCTTTCGCAAGAGGTTTCAGATTATTCTCCCCATGACCTGGTAAAATATCTGAAGCGAAGACTTGCTCAACTCAATTCAAGCGATGTTTCGAATGTCACTAGTGTCATCTGATTCCACGGAAGAGCTCGGGCTGCCGAGATCTTGATCTTCCAACAGCTCTGGGCTGGATCTGGAGCTAAACTGAGAGACTGCAACTCTGGTGTAGATCAATATCTACCTGACAATGATCTTCATTTTCGTAGATCAATACCGAAATTGTATTGAAGGATACCTTCTTCAGTGACAAAAGCAGTTTTGTATAAATTTCGAGGCGCAGCATTAGCAGTCACGAGTTTTTAATGCCTGTGCTTTTAATCGTGTTGATCCTCTCTGTCTAAGCGGCGGACCTAGCTCCCTCTTATAGCACAATGTCAACCCAACACTTCGTACCACACGCAGTATAGAGCACTCGCTAAAACAATATCCGTATCCAAGTTGATCAAGAAATATCTCGTATACAAACTCACAATCTATCATGGGCTCGTCTTCTTCAAAGACTGCATACTCAGCCAACAACACACGTGGGGCATCAGTCGCTGCGTACGAATTATCGAGCGCTCTGGCTGATACCTTGAACGAGATCAACTTGAGTGGTCATTTACAAAACTGGCTTGGTAAAGGGACACTCACTGACTTGACCATTAGGTAGCTTGAACGAGCAACTTCGTCAGCTGCTTGAACGTCTAGATCAAGAAGCAGCCAAGTACACCAACTCCAAGGTCAACGATGACGAATCAAGAGAATGGAACCCGTGAGTATTCCCATTGGCCTTCCAGACAAAACATTCTGACTGGGTTCTATAGGTCTCAGGCTGAAGTCCAGCTCATATCCGCGGCCTGGAAGTGTGCTCGTGGGACTTATGACCTTGAAGGCACCGTGACTGATACCGGTTACTGCACGTTTCGCCGTGATCAAGTAGTCGACAGCTCTTTCGCGGGGACCGTCAAACTCATCACATCAACTATCATCGAGGCGAAGACAGGCTCACGGATAATTGAATCATTGCCAGTTCTAGTGCTTGCGATACGTGGAAGTGCCAGTAAGATGGACCACATTGTTAATGCCAATGCCCAGCCCAGAACGACCGAAAGTTTTATTGTGAGTTCCCTTTCACCACTTTGTTTATGAAGCCATTTTCGTTTCATCTTATTCGCGGCTTCACCCAACTAACAGTCGAAGGGATGTCTAGAGGACCTTAAAGCCCATTCTGGCTTCTTGAATAGTGCACGAGCTCTGGACTCGATTGTCACAAATCTAGTCAATAAGTACCTGGAGTCTTTTCCTGAGATGAGTGAGAAGAAACCGCATGTTCTTTTTACGGGACATTCCGCCGGCGGAGCTGTATCACAATTATTATATCTTCGCCATATGTCTAACCAAAATTTAAGTAAGTTATGGAAACAAGCATGAAATGAGGAACTGGCTAACAAGATACAGACCAGCCTGCGAGATTTTCGTGCGTCACATTTGGTGCACCTCCTTGCTTGACCCAGCACGTTGATCTTGACATATTTCAGCCAAGTAGTGGAACCGTGTGCGTCAACGTTATCAACGAGTTCGATGTGGTTACTCGAGCCGACAAACCATACATCTTATCTCTGGTAGATGTCGCCAGAGCAATGCTAGACTTGCCACCAAAGGCAACCATTTCTGAGCTTGAAACAAGCGAAGGGATAGTCAGCGCTGCTTTAGAAGCTACTAGAGATGAAAAACGCCCTCTTTCAGACGATTCTGAAGACTTTCCTGTCAAAGAATCAAACTTTTGGCGCTTTCCTCAGCCTTTCTACCACCATGTCGGACCTAGAGTTATTCTGTTGATGCGCTTCGTTGACGATCAGATGAGTCTCAAAGCTGTCGAAGTAAGTACTTCGGAGTTCCAAAAGTTGCTATTCTGCCGTGTTACTGTTCATGGCAAGAGACTCTACGAAGAAAGGATTAGTGCTTTAGAGCAGGGACGTTTCAATAATCTGTCAGCCTGGAAGCCAGACGGAGATTACAAGGATAAACTTCTTGATCAAAAATAGTCTACTGAGCAACGAATGGCCAATTCTGAGAATGCGTCTTGCCCTCTGGGCGAATTGGCAACTTCACATGATTTCTCCGTCTTGCAGATTCCACGGCCCGATAATACTGGACATCAGCCAATATCTTGTCGGCGAGGGTCTCAGCAAACCCTGAAGTTGGTGACTCCCCAAGAAACTCATCCCCATCAGCAGAATCCTCCACAGCCGACATAATAGCCTGACACTCCCAGCACAAGCAAACTGTATACTCCTCTCCAAAACGAATACGATAGAGAGACTGGGTCTCATCGTTTCCGGCTGCCAGTTTCGATTTCTTAATCTTGTCATCATGATTAATGAAGCGGCCACAACGTGCTTCCATGGAACTCATGTACGCTGTTGCTGAGAGTTGACTGGTGTGCCAGACGAGGTCAATGTCAAGTGCAGGAACCAGCATCTTGCCAGGGTAGAGTTTGAAAAGCCTCAGATACCTCTCGTATCTCTCAACTGCTCGGCGAAGACTTCCTTGCAGTGCTGGGCTTCGTATCCATAGATGAGCGTTCATCTTTTCAACGAAGACGCGTTGGCGCTCGACGTTGTCGACGAGTTTGCCAATGAAGCGAGAAGCATATGGCTTGCCGATATCTTGTGTTTGCATGTTGCCTCTTTGAATGATTGATTTGAGGAGAGTACCTGGAATGACTGCTTCTCCTTCGGGAACTTCCCAGGTCTCTCCAGTGACTACCCAGGCATCACGGATGGGGCCTTGCGACCTGATTGAATCGTGCTATATAGCAATTAGTTCATGTTACGGAGTTGGTGACATTCCCGGGTATAAACGCACAATAAGCTTCCATGGGAAATTGACCCTTGGGAGGTAGTCCCAGTACTGATTTCGGCAGTAGTCCAGATAGTCAGAAGGGTTAAGGAGGAAAGCATGCCAAATCATCAGAATATCTTGTTGAAGGGTCAGTTACGTGCCAGTTTTGGAAGAAGTGAGATACTCACCCACGGGTGGCAGCCATGAGGTATCAGTCATTGATATCCCAATCTTTCCATCATGGGCACCATCTTTGCCCACTGTTGAAGTCAACCAAGCATTGAATTTTGCAGCCCATACCAAAAACCTTTGCGCTGCTTCTCCAAGGTACCACGTCCATTTCTTATCCCGCTTGGCCTCCCACGACGGGTTTCTTAGTGTAACTTCTTCATTAACATGCTTTTTCAAGCCTTTGATATACTTGCGACGATAGATCTTCTTGGTCGGTTCGCCCAAGTTGAACGCCTTGTCGAGTTTCTTTGAGTCGAGAATCTTGATGCGCAACGCATGAAATGCTTCTAGCAATTCTAGATGAACGGCGCATTGCACTGGAGTGGGAAGATTATCTTTATGGGAGTCATCGAGTTCGCAGAAGATGTCTGGACTCGGGATGACGGGGTTTTCATCCAAGTCGGTGGCTGATGGATAGTATGTCTTTGATATGTTGTTGTTGAAGTCTCTACTGGCTTGGTGAAGGGCGCCTGTATTATAACCGATGAGATGCGACATCTTTCAGTGAGATCCGGGTATAATAAAGGCGAAGTGCTTGAGGAGATGGGTATAAATGCGCCGGGTCTTCCAAGTAGATAAGTGATTGAGTCTGAGTCGCAAAAGAATGGTCGGAGTTTGGCTTTGCCAGTCAGTCTTGATATCGTCACCTGAGCCGGTATGCCTTGATCATACCAAGACGATTAGAGCATCAGATGAGTCGAACGGCAGGGCTGGGCCGATGAAACTGAGCAACAACATTTGGACGATCATTAACAATATATCCTTGGCGGTACTTTACCCCTCTGCCAGTTTGGTGGATAATCCATGTATCTTCTGGCCGTATCAGTTCTAGGCGTCTAATACCTTGGCAAGAGGTAATTACCCATAGGCAACCATCAGATCCCTTGTCTATTCTCCTCTTAATCTGCCTCGCTAGCGGAAATGTCTTGCAAGATTGCGGAATTTAGAGGTGGCCTACTGAAGTTCCAGCGACAATCTTGCTGTTTTGGGTGTCGAAACACTCTAGTCGGGCGAGCTGAACTAATTAAACAGGGTCCTTGCTGGGGCGCAGCATCAGATGAGAAGGCAGTCTGTGAGGCTTTCGACGATGAATGTCTTAAGACTACACAGTAATGATGATGCCTATTTCTCGTATATCGGCAAAATACCTCATCGTGTGAATAAGAATGATCATGCTCGCTCGAAAATTACCGGCACATACAGCTTGAACCATCGACAACCGTTCTTCTTCTAAGTCATTCACAATGTCACGGCTAAGGCAAAAGGTTCTCCCTGTGCTCGCAGCATCTTCACTGCCTTCATCCCATATCACTTCTGCGCCTGACATATCATGGACTCGAGTTGGCCCCGGGAAAGACCATATCCTCTCAGAACTTGAGAGCTTGTACTGGGATGGCGTCAAGGCCGAGCTTGAGAACATCGTTCGCACGCTCAAAGCGTGGCAGCAGCCAGAATTTGCTGATGTCGCTATTGAAGACGAGGATGATGATCTCATCCACGGCTTCGATACGTTTCTTGACTCGGTCAGTCAGCAATCTCGAGCACACGCCATACGATATGGTAAGTATGAGATACCCTCGATTAGTGAAAACATATTAACAGTTCACAGGGAAAATGAAGCAGGAACAGGCTCGATATATGAAAAATTGGTCAACTAAAAATAAGGCATATGGGCGTAAATTTGCCAAAGATGCTTTTATTGATTCGATATCAGATCGAATCACACAGCAAGCAAGTGATCAGATCAAGAGTGATGTAAGAGGGTTTATTGAAGGTACGTCTCCCATTCTCAAAGGTCAATAGAATACATACTTATTAGTTTTAGCCAGTACCAAGCTCGAAGGAATGGAGCATCGCGCATGGATCCTCCTCCAAGCTGCTGGTATGTGCTATCCTTTGCAAACGCTCAAACAATATGACTGATAAGATCATTAGGCTTTCTTGATATGGAAAAACTGATCGAGCATCGTCCCCCTCCTGACATGTTCGGCTTCTGGAAGAGGCCAGCTATTCCCCAACGTGGGTCTGTTCCTGTCACGAGCCCCTTTACGTTACTCATATCATAATAGTTGCGCTTTCAAAGTTCAATGATGACTTCACTCCAAATTTTGAACCTCTTCGTTGCATGCGAAAGCAATGCAAGAAAGTTGTTCGAGGAAGCATGTTCATTCGCAACGACGATGGCTCCGATCCTGGCATAATCTGCGAAGAATGTTATCGAAATCATTACTACGGCAAAGACCCATATACGAAGACTTACAAACACTGTATCCTGTCAGAGACAATTACCCCTGAGATCAGCAGGAAGCTGTGTACGTGCCAGAGAATCATTGATGCCAGCAACAATGAAAGCTTGTTCCCTATACCCTGGCCAGAAGGGCACACTGGCTACGGTAGCAACATCAAGGATAAGTGCAAGCTTCTTCAACTTGGCGACGCGATTGCTATGGCCAAATATCTCGGCCTGCAAAGCAGTGTAGGAGCGAAGCCTCGGTCTCAGAAAGACATCGAGAAGTCCAATTGGAAGGCAAGAGTGGAGGAGCAGCAAAAAAACAGGTACACCTGGTCCTATGGATATACATCTTCTACCAAGGGAGATGTTAGTGACTTCGAAGACGAGGAAGAGCCGAAGACGATGAATGAATCTGGACCTCGGGGTGGGCGGCTCAAGAGGATGAAGACTGTTCAGGAGACCAGTTTGCACGCGAACGACCGTTCGCCTACTTCGACTAGCGTCAGCGTGGCGGAAGAAGCAGCAGAAGACGGAGATATCCCTCTGTTCTTCAGAAAGTACGTCGAGAAGTATCCTTACGGAAATGTTCACATGGCACTCCGTGTTGGCCCTATCGTCATTGAGAACGGAGTCGCGCAGTAAGTAATACTTTCTTCCCGCCATGCAAATAGTAACTTACATATAGCACAGCACTAAAGGCGGTGCCCTCGTGTCTCTTCGGGAAATGCCGATCTTCCATGAACGCTTCCATCTGCAGACAATGCCTGGCAGAGACCTCGCAGTTGGGGGCGGTCTGGATCGTCCAGTATGGAAACGCAAACGAAAGGCCACCGACCGCAAGAGATACAAGGCCATTATGAAGCAAGTCGTCGGTGTGCCATTCAGCGGAGATTATGCTTCACATGATCAGGAACTTTCTATCGTTCAGGATCTCTTGGCTGCCTGTAAACAGCCGTTTGACGATCCCGGATTGCCAACCTCTGATCAAATTAAGCTACTCGACAAAGTACTCGAGCCAGCTTTGGAGAAACTCAAGACGCTACTCAGTCCCAGACTAAGGGTATATCTTGGTAGTATCTCAGAGCGGCTTCTGGACCAAGACGTTAAGCTGGCTTGGAGTACAACACATAACAACTGCCAGACTTTCTGCAGTTCACTCATCGACAAGACGATCTTCCAGCCTCTTGTCAATGGGGAGCCTGGCGACCGGTCTGCTGATGTGTCCCGTCTCTACACCATGAGCTTTGTATGCCCGGATGAGGGATACAAGAGACGAGGTGTACGAACCAAGTTTGATGTTCCGTTCGGGCTCACTGAAGAATACCTCCTCCGCTTCCACTTTGGTCGTCACGATGAATCCGATATCATCGATACATATCAAGAGTATTGGTATGACTGGGGTGCTTTTGGCAGCACGCTGTACAAATACCAGGACTTGTATCCTTGGGACTGTACAGAGGCTTATGGGAGATATCCCACCAAATGCGGTGACTGCAACCTTGCCAAGCATGTTTGGGCTTTTCCATTCGACTCATGGTCTATATCCTCGCATCATCTCTCACGCGACCGTCACATGTACGCACCAGCATTGACTGATCAGGACTTGACAGCTGTTGGCAAAGGTGCCACTGCAAGTTCGTGGATGCGGAACCGACTTACAGTCCTCTCGGCTATGTCTGTTCTTCACCGAGCTGCCACAGCCATGGCTCAGTCAGTCAAGCTCCAAAAGGCCACTGCATGGCTACACAAAGATCTCACACAGAGCACCCTTGATCCGTCTCTAGCAAGAGTCAAACTTGGTGGTATTCACCGTGCTCAGCCATGCAGCCACTACTACGAAGCGGGAGTTTACAGCCATTTCTTCATTGCTCCGTGGGCAACCCTCACTCGCGCCAAGCAAATCGAGGCGTACGAACTTCAGCGAGACGGCCGTGTCGGTCTACCTGATATGCCAGCTTACCTACGAAAGCGACGTTTCAGCGGACACGCAGACTTGACACAATACAACTATGTTGACTTCGGAGGTACAAACCCTGCACCCGACATCGACATCATCAACTTATCACCCCATCACCACATTGGTATGGATAACGTAGATGGCTGCTATAGCGACTCCCACTTCAGTCCAACGTCCGAAAAGCCGTGCCATGTCTGCGCAAGCGGGTGTGGAAGTTCAACACGCAACGCAGCAGACTGTGCAAGTGGGGAGACTATCAGGATGGCCGAGGCGGCTACTGCTGCTGCTCTCGCTGCAGAGAGTGTTAGTCATTCACATTCAAGTTGTGGAGGGGGTAGTTCTAGCTGTGGTGGTAGTTCGAGTTGTGGAGGGGGCAGCAGTTGTGGTAGTTCTAGTTTTTGAGCGTAAGCGATGATGCCTTGTAGATTCCATGCTATATGTAACTATATCAGATATTGGACTTGATCTATACTTCTTATCAGTGAGCTTCCTGTGCCTCGAAAGCACGTGTAACCCAGTAGGTTTAATACTACCTTCTATACCCTCTACAATTACCAAGCATACTTTAACGGTTTGAATAACTCCCTCGTCGGTGAATCGACACCAATGCAGTGTTAACAAACTCCATTAAAGTTTAACGGTCCCTCGTGCAGTCACTGCTAGTTTCTCAAGCACACAACCTCCGATAGGCTATAACATCACCGACTTACAATGGAACGGTGTGCCACAAGTTGACATTTTGCTTCCAGCCGATTGCTTACACTACTTCTTGGACTGCAAGCTCACAGTAGCCCACTAACCATGAAAACTTCTCTTTGCATGTTCTAGTCCCAGTAGCTTAAAAGGTCTCCATGAATCATGTTCGGCGGGCAATCCGCCTGTATCAGGCTTCCACCTTGCGAATCAAGTACTGTTCATTAAGAGTCTTCAGTGTTCTTCGCCACTAGTTGAGCAGTTCCCATCACATCGCCACGGCCCGAGTGGTCTCTCACCGGGCTTGACACATGGCTAGTTGGGTCCACGGCACGATATCGGTGTGCTTAGCGTTTCTGTCAGTAACTTAGACTGCAGAGATTGATCTTGAGCGATTTATGAATTCTGCGAGAAGTTTCTTTGCAAAATATTCTAGTGTTTTTGTTTGAACAGTTGAGGCTGTATGGCTGTTAGGCTCTTGCAATGCTACACAACCGTAACTCAACAACTCCTTCAGTGACCTTTCTGAGCGAAGTGCATCGAATATCACAAGCTTTCTGCGATGCACACACTTTAAACACCTCCACCTTTTTCAACAAATCTCTATCTTGACTTATCGTGCCCACTATTGTAGAACTAACTCGGTGATACTCACTCCACAGTGCCATCGTGAGTTAAAGACAAGTATCCGCCAGGAATGTCCACGACGGCCGGTGACGAAAACAGAAAAGTCTCACAGCATGTGACATCCAAGGCTAAAAGACTTGTCACGATTGAGTCAGCAGACATCAAGAGTCTGTCATGTAGGGTAGGGCAGGGCTCTGTATGTAGTAGGTACAGCATCGTCTCCACCCACGCCACGTTGTGATGTGCCAGGTACTAGTCAGGGCATGGGCTGCTCTGATTGGCTTCAAGTTTCAGGTACCGAAAGCCGTTGGGAGGCAAAAGCCCCCAAGAACAAAGTTTATGCCTCAGAAGCGAGCGAGCGTTGAATCAGCAGTTGCTGCTAAAGAGTAAAGTTTCTTCTAGTTACTCGTTGGAGCAAGACAAGCGCATGGCTTTGCCATTGTGGTCGTGCGACCCGCTACCGAGGAATGAGGTTGATGGACGGCTTCTGATGATTTTGTAACACTATTTTTCAACCACCTCCGTCACAGCTGAGTAATAATCATCTTGAGGTAACTCAAAGACCCCATAGTCTCAGAAACATATTGAAGCTTATTACTTGTGCAACCAACAAAAGTAAACAAATTCCGCGTAAGCGTTGCGTGCATATGCACTGTAAACAAGGACAAAGGCCCACTAGCCCCTATCTTGAAACAATGGAAGCTGAACCTGCATTAGCAGCACCACCAGAGCAGCTCGTGGGCAGTTCACAGCCTATCGTGAAAAGTCTGATTGTCATGTCTCCATCATAGAGAACATACCAAGAACTGCAACAGATCAAAAAAGACGCAAGGAAAAGGCAGAGATTTTCGATACATAATCAGAGATGAAAACTGTGTTGATCATGGTGGGTCTCATCCACTGTTGGTCGTTGCATTGGGGGCCATCTTGTTGATCCAAGTTGCGTTTCCTCGAGGGTTTCAATCCTTTCGCTCAGAGGATTCGGCGCGATCGGGACGGATTCAAGATAAATGAATGTATCAATCACTTGGCGAAGAGGATGGACTAAATCTGGGGATTGGCGGGGGATCAACGCAATTAATTAAACTGAAGCAACGACATGCCATCACAGTAAAACCAAGTCACAAATCAACAATTGAGCAGGAGAAATGAATATGTCATAACACTATGAATATATGTATGTTAGAAGGTATAATAGATAGATCCCAAAGCCAAGATCCAGGATCGCCCTGGATAGCTAAATTCCGAGCACCGTAAACACCAGGTATAGATAGAATAAGCCCAATTCTATAAAATCAAGTTTTACGCAGAGGCCTAGCTCTCAAATGAACTAAACCACAGGCTATGATATAGCTTAAGCGGAGTAGTCAATGTCAACGGTGAGGCGGACCTGCTTGAGAGGAGTGTTGATACCAATGCCGTCTTCAGCCTCCATGCCACCGAGGTAGGCGTTCTTGCCAGTGCCACCGGGGTAGATGATCGAGCAAGTGTTCTCAGAGTCGCAGACTCGGAGACCGGGGATGTTAAGGTTCTTGGCGGCGGAGACAAGGCAAGAGGCGTCAGCGCCTGACCAGTTGTTGTTTCGCTCGCTGCCGAAGTCGAACTCGAGCCAAGTACTGGCCCACTGGCCGTCCGAAGTGGTGGGAACCTTGTTGCTGGCACAAGCGCAACCGCCCTGGGAGTCAGCGTCGAAAGCAACAACCTGTGAGCTAGAGGCGGGAACAGTGAAGGTCAAGGCAACGTTCTTAGCGAAGAAACCGTCGATCAAGCCATCAGGCCCGATCTTGTTGAAGCAAACACACTCCTTATCTTCGTCGTGGTCGTTCTTGAAGGTGGTAGTGTAGTCGTACTTGTCGGCGACATCCTCATCGACAGTCATCATGTTGCAGCCAAAGTCACCGGGAACACCAGTGTTGCCCTTGGCAGCAATATCCTCAAGAGTGGCGCGCTTGGCCTTCTTGCCACCGCAGAAAGGCTTATAACCGGAACCGGAGCTGGAGTTGTGCTTCTTGCCCTTGTTCTTGTTGGACTTGGCAGGAGCGGAAGCAGCAGGGGCGGGACCGCTGGCGGCAGCCTTGGGGACGGTGTCGGCGTCGACCTTGGGAGAGGCGGGAGCCTCAGGGACAGCGGTAGCAGGGGCGGCGTCAGCGGTGACGACCTGAGTAGCGTACTCAACAACAGTGACGGGCTTGTTGGCAACGACGAAGTCGCGCTTGGCGTGAGCTCGCTGGTGAGCGTGGCCGCTGGGGTGGGCAGAGACGCCGAGGGCGGCGGCCAGAATGACAACGGAAGAAGAGACCTTCATTTTGACTGATTTGTGTATATGTTGTGTTGGAAGAGTGACGGCTTTTGGTAATCGGTTGTATTTCCGGAATACTTCCTTTTGCCTTTATAAGGATTGTGAGGTAAGTTGGTTCAAGAGAGTGTTATCAGCGTAGTGCTGTGAAGGAGTGACAGAAGGCAAAGGCCGTGATCCAAAAAGGCTGAGGAGTGAAGAATAGAAGGAGAGTCAGAAGGGGGGAGGAATTGAGGGTTATAAGGTGAGCAAGGGGTGTGTGTCTTTGAGTCTCCTTTCAACCCGAGTTGGGAGGTGTGGCGTGGTGTGTGTGTGGACGCCATGTCTCTCATCTCTCTTGTTCCGTTCTCATTCAGAAGCCGGCACGCCCCTGCAATTCAGGTCCGCTTCCCTAGGGAGTTTGCTGGCCAAGACCCTTGCTGCAATTCCCACATCCCTCTCCATCTCCTTCGGCCAGAACGCATGTGCAGTACGTACTGGGATATGGATCTGGGAAGTGGGCGAGCTAGCACCAACGCTTGCACCGGTATCAACACCAGTGCTAATGCAGAAACGACGCTAGTACTAGATGCCAAGGTCATGGATCAGGCCCACCACACCCTTTCAGTCCAAGTTCAAGCTCTGCTTCCGCGAAAGCCCCAGGGGTAAGGGCTTTCATCCCTGCCAGGTACCAAGGCTACTTGATTGGTCCATCTCACCTCCCAGTCGTCCCAATCCCGACATAGCCAACCAGGTCGTTGTACCTGCTAGACCTGGCAGGCCTCGCAGAGTCTTTGATCTGGTCCACTGCCAAAAATCGAACCCGCCAGAGACACCAGATCGCCGGCCGCGTCAGCAGATTATGCCAGACTTATTGATGAGATGTGTAAACGGAAAACAGGAACACTGGTTCCAGTGGTAGGCTAGACCGGAAAAGAGCTAAGGCGTAGAGAGACGGTACGGTAATCGCTGATCACCTTCTAGCTCTCGGGTTACTGATGAGGAGCTCATTTACTTCAGGACAATGAAGTCGTTCATATTCTAGTCTTGGGCAAGTGACAAGAACGAATGCCGTGATCAAGTGGCGATCTCTGAGAAGAGATTGTTTGAAACGCCGGGGACGGACAACGCAAGTGATGAGCTGCCACGAGAAGGAACATGCAGTCATCTCAGTGTGTTGAGTGAATTTGTTTCTGTCGGTGACGGCTCGTACGCCTGCATACTGGCTTGCACTTGCATATTGTTGTGCCTTGTTGGTGTCTGTCTGACTGGCGAACAACTGAGGTGTCATAGGCCGTGGCAGTTATCATGAACGCGGTGAATCGACATTTGAATACGTGGACCCATCAGATGGATGCGCAACTGTATGCAATTGTGCTGTGACCTGCAAATTCGTGATACCCGTGGCAGTGTGTATACATATACGTGCGCGCTGTATGTGTCATTGAATCAACCGCCGCTGTGGCATAAGTTACTGGCGTTATTTCCCCAACAGCCAAACAAACCTTGTTTTCTCCCGTGCCATCTCCAGAGTCCCATTCGCTAAGTGGAAAAGAGGCGGAGCCCCTCCTTGCCTCGCTCACCGTTCGACCCGTTCGTTGGTGTGTTTCGTAGTGGTCTGGTCTGCCCCAGACGACGCGAGCGCCTCCTTTCCAAACCGTGCAGTACGTAGTAAACAAAAAAGGCTGACGAGACATGACTGATATGATCAAATCAAATTAGACACTTTCGCTTCCTTCAATGGAATGATGCCGGACAGAAGCGCCGTCGACAGCATGCGCATGGTCTCCAGGGCCAGTGGAAATGAGACTGTCCAGCCACTCACGTCGGAGAGGAGGCCTTTTTCCCTTTTCCGCTGACTCGACAAGGGAAGGCTTGAGCTGAGACATGCTCGAATCGGTAGGCGGTGAATTACGGCAGATCGGTCTGCTACGATCCGGGCGGCTATGGTTGCATTGTCTGATGGTATGCATGGTCTTGCTCTAGGAGACAAAGGAATGCCTTTCTTACAAAGACGTCTTTCAAAACTTGAAACGAAATATTCTTATTCATGCGAGACCTTCAAAAGCATTTTCCAGTTGCTCACAACACCCTCCTCAGCTCCTGAACTGCCCATTGAGGAAAGTGAATATTATACGAGGCTTATTACCTACAACCCCAGCACGACCAGGGTTCAAGGGGTCCTGTTCCTGTGCCGGGCTTAAGAAATGGATCGAGAATATTACCCATGAATACTTTAATAATCCTCCTTCCGAGCAGACCAGGAGGGAACCATCAACTGATATTATTTCCCTGGAATGTTGCCATTGAACCAGCATCGTAAATTGTTAGTCACATAACATTTATGCTTCGACCTGCTTTTGATTGTCCTCTGTAACGCGCCCACATGCCAATGCCAACCGGCATCTTTGACTCTGCCCGTGGTTCTTGACTGTGTTTGTCTCATTTCTCAGCAACAGGGCATCGTCACTGATTCTAGAATCAAGTGAAAAAAGCCAGCCATGAGCTATTAATTGCCAAGTCAGCATCATGCGTCTCATTTGAATCCTTCCCGACAATACATGGTGATACTATTATGTGCTTGGGTGGCTATAGTCATATGTGGAGAATGTTGCTATTTCTGGTACTCACGGTTATTCAGGCCTTGTTGATTTAAAGATGGGTACATGCTGAAACCGAGGAGCGCCACGAAGATAACCTTTTAGGGTTCTTTACGAGCGAGATTGAGTGAATAGCTCATGTTAAACACTGACGACTATCACCGCATTCAATCCTACGGTATGTTGAAAAGGGGTAGCTGAATTGAGTTTGATCTTCGGCCATAATCCAGGGATCTTCAATAAAGATCCCGCCCCTAATCTCTATCACTCCGTGCGTTCGTCAGTAATTTTCGCAAAGTGAAGCTGGACCGGGAAAGGCTACAGATGCGTGTTCAAAATAACGGTGAGACTAGACAAGAAAGTGCATGACTGAAGACGATTGGTTGATACATGGGTCGGGTGAGGCTGGCTTGGAGACTACATCACAATTCTTCAATAGCTGTACTTTCAGAATATGCTGTGAGTGTACTCAGATTAGCGAATGTTTCAATTCCTGAAGAGATATGCCCCAAGGACATTGTTATGTAAATCATACAGAATAATATCGCCGCCTTGGCAAGGAGCCTCATTGCATTTGTCTTCATGAAGCAAGTCTACCTCAAGTCACGAATTTTTCCTCCTGGTTAGGACAAGCACAACGCTGTCGAGTACGACAGAATTTATCGCAGAAGCTTACATATGCATAACTCAACAACGCTGTAGCTAAGACTATCAGACAAGACTACTAAGTACTTTCAATCTCAGATGCTCGGCATAAGACGAGCCATCTCTGTCGTCATATCACCGCTGACCAGTTGCCGGCATCATCCCCAATCCAAAACTAGAAGTAGCTTCTCATAGCATCCTCATAACCAGATCCTCCTTTCAAATCCCGCCCAAATTTGGCATGAACGTCGAGAACCTGTCTGATGTGGCGCATGCTAAGGGCCTCACCTTTGTTAACGGCGAGATCTTGAGCCGAGCCCACCACGTTCTTGATTTCACGTCCATTCAGAGCTTGCTTCGATAGTAAGTCCAGATCATCCTCTGTCAACGGCTCTACCTTGAGCTTGCCCAGCTTATGAACACGGTCGAGGAACATCTTAAAGATAGCCCGCTTTGCAGGAGACTTGAGATTGTCATATCGCAAGGCGATGTGAATTCGGGACTGGAAGGCTTCATCGAAGGTCTGAATCACTCCTGTGTTAGCAATCATTCGAATCCAACGGGTTCCAGATACTTACTTCAACTCGGTTTGTCGTGAGAAATAAGATTCCTTGAAAATACTCCAGCTGACGGAGGAAAATGCTCACAAGGGCGTTGCGATGGATGTCATGCATATTACGCTTTTCCAGGAACACGTCTGCCTCATCCAGAAGAAGGATAGCACCCCAAGCATGGCAAATGTCCAGTATCTTTTGTAACTCTGCCTCCAGAAACCTCGAGTCCGTTCCTAACTCGCCAGCCGATACCATATAAAGTGGGCATTGAAGCAATTCTCCGATTCCTTCAGCCGTGAGTGTCTTTCCAGTTCCAGGAGGACCGTGTAGGACGGCTGTCAAAATGTTATTTTTTTTGCACCTCGGATTTTTGGATATGTTGAACTTACTGACGAGCCCCTTTCCCTTGCCCTGGATAACATCATCGATAGTGTTAGCCGCGTGATACTTGCGTGACTTCACAAGGGCCTTGATCAGGTCCTTGGTGCCGTCTTCTAGAACTAGGGAGTCCCACGCCTTGTCATTCCATTTGATTTCATTGACGCAGGAAACGGCGAACTCCAACCATTGCTTTTCTGAAAACGAGAAACCAAGTACCACTGGAGAGGCAATGAGATAGTCCTCGTCCGTGAAATCGACGATGTCCATGTCCTCGTCATCATCGCCTTCCACATTTTTGGAGGGGAGTTCGTCGAGTTCGGCGTTTCCGGGCTCATCCTTAACCAAACTTTTAGGAAAGCTCACCATATGTACGTCACCGTTCTCGTCCTTGTAGACTTTCTTGACAAATTTGACCTTCTCTGCGCCCTCCGAATCTGAGCAACACGCACAGTTCCCGGAATCCGATTCCGAAGTCTCTTCCTCGATTATATCGGGATCCTTGGGCTTAACAGTCGAAACGCTGTAGTTGGGGTTGGTCCTCCTGAAGATAGTCGGGTCGATCATGACTCTGCTGGACTGAATGTTGAACTTCATTACCGAGCCGTTCCTACGCTTCATGAAGGCAATGCCCTTGTAGCTCTTGTAATGGACACCACTCAATGACGCAAACTTTTTGCCTCGTTCTATCAAATCAAGTCGGAGTTTCTGCTCGTTATGGTGGTACTGAAGCGGATAGCAAGGAAGACTCTTGATCTTCTTGGCGCCCTGGAACCCGTCTATCTCGACTGATGTATTACCGTAACCAAAGCGCTTACCATCGAATTCCATGTATTTCCCTTCAACATGATAATAACTGCCTCTCATAACGCTGTGGTGTAGGTGCGCTGATTCGACTTTGAAAACTCGTGGCTCGCTTGCGTTTCCGTAGGTTGTGGTATAGACCAGTGTATCCGGTTTCCACAAAGCCCAAAGCAGCTCAAATGTGATGAGACCATTCTTGAGCATGGGATAGAGACTTTCTTTTGTGCTTTCGAAGTCATGGTCAAGATACTTGATAAGTATCTTGAGATGCTGCTTCTTTTCCTTGAGCAGACTTTTATTCTTCTTCCGGCTCTTCTTGGACTTGCCAGCAGGCTTGGCTTTGCGCAGTGCCTTCAAATGATCACGGAGGTCTTCCAGGTACCTGATGAAATATCAGCAAAAGATCACAATTTCATCACAAACTCGTTCATTTTTATCCAAGCCTCATCACCAACCTCCTGGCAGATAATAATGTTAGGTTACTCACAAGAAAAGGACCTCAGGGTTCATTTTTGGTGTCTCGTCTACCAGACTGATGCCTTCCGCGTTGCCGATAACGTCCTGTAGACATTCCCGAAGCAATTTGCTCTTGATGTCGACAACAGTTGCTATATGCTTGCCCTCCCAGTCGAACTTCCTTCTGACATGAAAAATGTATTCGTCGTACTGGGAATCGGTGTCTGTGTCGGCTGTGTCCTGAAGTTTGAAATTGTGTATGCTGTTGTCCCACACCTGATCCACGCGTTTGAAGGCAGGACCCTTGGGCTTTTGGCCCTTAGCCCTCAACTCACCAGGCAAATAATCATTAGTGATATTATCTGGATCACTACCTTCGAGGGCTGGCACTCTCGAAAATAGCCCAGGTCGACGTCTGCCACGATTAGGGCGAGCAGCAATTGATCGACGAGGAGCGAAAAGTGTCGGATCGAGACTAGCTGCCTGTGAAGCCAGAGGATTTGAAGGGTATTGGAGAGAATACGACGGAGCTGATGAACCAAACGAGGCAAAAGCGCTTGGGTTAACCGATGGAGCCAGGCCATTAGAGTTACCCAGTTGATGCTGAAGTTGAGCAAACTGAAGTTCGAGCGCCCTCAGTTGGCCCTCAAGGCCTGAAGAGGACTTGGTTGGGTCTTTTTCCTCAACAGGGTCCTCATTATCAGAAGACTCGGGATCAGAGGATTCGGAATCGCTGTCCGAATCGGACGCGGTGTCAGAGAAACTGCCGGTCTTGTTCTTTTTGTTCTTGGGCTTCTTCTGCTTCTTGGCGGAAGCCTTGGAAGTCTTTTTTTTAGAAACGGTACCGTTGGCTCTTTCCTTCTTCTTGCTTGTGCCATTCACTCCCGAATAATGTTTGGGAGCCAGAGTTGTGGTTTCTGAGGCTTGATCATCATCTGAAGTAGGTTCGTCTTCACTGGAAATGCCAGAAGTCTCAGCTTCGTCTTTCACCGAAGCCGGCTTGGTTTCTTGACTCCTTTCCTTCTTCTTCTGCTGCCTGCTCTTCCTCGAACAAGAACCACTCTTAGAAGTTCTTTCCGCCGACTCTGAAGGAGCCGCAGCAGGGGCTGATGGGTCAACCTCATTAGCCATCGTGGCATCTGCCTCTTGTTGGCCAGACTTTTTGTTGTGCTTTGGGCCACTTTGACGATCGGAGGGAGTGATCGAATCTGTCTGCTCCATATTGGTTTTTTGAAGCTGTAACGTGACACAAGTACCTTGCTGCAGTCGATTAATCGAGAGAGCGTTGGCAGAATAGCAAACTTGAATGTTTCAAAGCAATCTGTTGAGTTGAGATGGCGCTTGGTTGCTCGGGATGGATTCGAAAGATTTCACCATAGAATACAGAAAAGAGTGTTGGTAAAAGACTCCTGTTTGTGGAGTTTCGTTTGAATGTCAGTAACAGTACTGTTATCGCATTCATGTATGTATGAAGAGGTGAAAGACATCAACAAGATGAGAGAGGAAGTGATGCTTAAAAGTAGAAATAGGCGGGAGGGAGAAGGAAGAAGAAGAAGGAAAATGAGGTGCACGCACAAGCCCAGGCTGCAAGCGAAGGCGCAAGGCAATGAATAACACTGCCAGTGCCAGTGCCAGGCAGATGCAGATGCAGAGGTCAACGAGCCAACTGCATCTGTGGCTACTACCAACCTGGGTAAGAGAACCAAGCCTCAGGGCGCAAGAAAACCTCAGACCTTATTAAAGGAGGCCAGAATAAACTTATCAAAGGACCTCCTTAAACTTATAATAAATTACTCAAGTGTTTTTATCCCTTAGGATTGAGATCCTAAGTTTTCTTGCCTCCCCTAGCCAAGGCAGGCACCAAAAGATGTACGCAACAGCCACAAATACAACATGCATAGGATCAGTCGGTTCTATACAAATTGATTGGCTAAATGTGGTTCAACAAAAAGTATTCCACCACATGTTAGTCTACATTGGATCCCTGACTGATGCTGCAGATGACAATGAATATGACTGTCCACTAGCCTACATAGTTACCAGGCAGCCAATACATTGTTGATCTTTTCCACTCATGTGAGTACGAAAGTACAGTAGGACCTTCAGTCTTACTCAGGTTTGCAGTATTATTCAACCTTTCGATGTAGTGAGGACCAGTAGCTAAGGTACCTTGGTACCTATTCTTCGTCGTCGTTTGAAGTTCTCTTCGTTTACAACCCCAGATGATCTTCCACCTCCACTACCCTAGTGTTCCCGTCCCCTATGTAGAGGCGCTAAATTCGCTGCTGGTGGGTCTGAGGCCAACACCTCCACTGGTACCCACCCACCTATTTCCATTGACAGTTGATCTTCAAACTTCGTCAGCCTCAATTTTGATGTCTGCAAATTCAGGGTCGCACTGCAGGCCAACGGCATCCGAACAAACACTCTCAAAGTGTAGAAACTCCTTGGCGCGATCTTACCAACTTTTCCACCGCAGAGTTCAAGTCTCGCTCCCACTTCTGACCCAATAGCTTCTAATGGTGAATACACACCTTGCCAGCAGGCAAACCGCCTCACCTTTCTTTGCCCAATAGGCATCCACTGTCCAACAATCAAGCTGAATTTGATCACAAATCTCTGACTGTGTAGTAACCCAGACTGATTCAAATGATGCCTGCGATGTGGGGGATTACACCGAACTTGCCGGCCAAAAGAGCTTCCTAAGGTTTAGTGTTGAAGTACAGGGCCCCAGTGTTGAGCTGGCAAGAGTATCAGATGCGAGCAGCCCGTGATATCAAAATGAAGTGCAACACGAGCGGTAAGACGTTTCATCGATCAACATCCCTCGTATCGGTGCAATGTTGAGACCTCAAATACGATAAATGACAGAATGAAGCCCGCAAGATGGACTTTCTACTGCAGCAACCCACATGTGGTGCTTGTGTTTGGAGGTATACATCCATTTTCAACCTCTCTCCGCAGCCAATAGACACTCCGCAGTCTTCTTTCCACCAAGGGATCCAATGTGTTGGCCATGTCTCGACAGCGACCACAACAGGAAGCAGCCGACAAACGCCATCCGCAGTGTTACTTCATCGGACTGGCAGGACGACCGGGAGAATCGGAGACTGCATAGGTACTATCGAGGCAGCAAGTTTGGTGTGAAGTGTGTCAGTGAGTCCAGAGCTGTTGATGCGATGTACAAGATCATGCTATTCATATAATTGGCACGACGTGCTGGCGCTACATAGGACATGTCAGTAAAGAGGCCAAACTTTAGTACCTTGAGCATATCAAACAAAACGGGTATGAGGACTTAGAGGTAAAGACAAGAAAACCGGCACACGAGGAACGGCCATGGCATTTGGAGTTTGCTTAAGTCACCAGGTCGTATGCTCGGAATCTATTGCATGAACAACATCTTGAACAAAAATAAAAGGCGCATCTATAAGTATATTCCCACAAAACATTGGGTTTCCATCGGGGATCGGATCATCGATTCAGCATTGACCATGCCATGTTTCCTTGAACACGTGAAAAAAAAACCTGCTCACGAACCGCAACCCCTCCTCCACCTTTATTATCATAACAGGTCATCAGCAAATGTGGACAAGCTCATAAATCAGAATCGTTGACATTACTAAAATGTGTGCTTTCTTATTCCCTTGAGTGCAGAAAGAGACTGCTTATACCCCTGATATTGAGATTCCAAACTTAGGCTCCTCTTGGGCTGAAAGATCGTTGCTTGCTTATATACTAAGGTTTTGATGATCTTGGTTGATGGATGCCCGCAATACTGCAAGAAATTAAGCTATGGGGCTCTAGGCCAAGCTCAACTTGGCGATGGATGGAACAAAGCGAGCTGCGAGCATGGGAAGCACGGACGGCCGCAGCGTTAGTGTATTAGTGGGCCAATTACCAGCCTCCGCGACGTCATCACAGTCGCAAAGATAGCTCCTCCTTCAGCTATACCAGGTTTGGGTTGGATAAGCCTTGAAGGTTTGCGGGAAAGAACTTGGAATGAATTGGACTAAGGCGCCTTGGAGGGAGAACCTGTGATTCTCTCTCTTCCATCTCAATTTGAGGGGATCGTCTACGCTGAACTCGTGCATGCTGCAATCAGCCGTCAATTGCTGCACAAAGATCCTCCTGAGACAGCATCGCTTCCGGATCCAAATTTAGTCTGATCCATTGCGACACAGCATTTGCGTATTTGTTTTGGAGGCCGGCCGATCCTAAGACCATACGCGACGTCAGTTCTTTGCCGGAACCCTTCGGCGTCAAGGCTCCCAACTCGCCTCTTCGTTTGCCCTCCAGCGTCGCTTTTCGCATTCAAAACATATTCTGAGCCACAAGCTCACAGCTTCCATCATGCCCAGCACATGGAACCGCTTCAAGGGCCTTTTTAGCGATGGAACCACCAGCCGACGCGAGTGGCTCCATGAGGAGGAGAGAGCCCGTATGTTATTCCATCGACACGAAATCTGGCTATTAGCTCACATACCATAGTTTTGCCTAGCCACCGGAACCAGAATATCGCATCTGCTACTCCCCCGGCTGAGGTCATGAAGGTTTGCCTGCGATTGCGACATTTGATTCGCGAATGCGTCCCTTGCGAGCTTGAAGAAAGTGCTATCACGCGATCCCATAGCACTGTCATCACCAACAAGGTTGTACAGGCGGCTAAGGAAGCTGGCGGCCAGAAATACCGATCATGCGTTGTACGTCGAGCACTCTTCCGTGATGCTCGATACGTTATGCTGACTTTGCGTTTCGTAGGTTTATGCCCTGCTAGTTAACATGCGATGGTTCAAACGCGAAGCCATTCTAGAGCTGTGGGATGCTGATCTCCACGATTTGCGCGCTGTTGCCTGCACTGTCATCGCCAAGCAGATGTGAGTTTAAAATGATGTCTCGATCACCAATTGCAGTTAGCTTACTCGAACTAGTATCGAGGGAGAAGAGGATCTCGATTACCTCCTGCACCACGTTCTTCTTCGTCGGTACTCTTTTCTCATTGACCAGGTTCCAACAGCCCCAACCAATGTCATTGAGAAGGCTGTCGACCTGCACGCAGTCCGAGTCATTGGCTCTTCTGGTTATCAGAAATGCATTGCATATCTCTGGCGTGGCTGGCTAGTCCAAGACGAAGACGATCCTTCCGAGTTTGTTGATTACAAGAACAAAGCAAACACCAGCCTACTTATCCACATGGACCCCGATCGTATGCGTGCACCTCGCTATCAGAATGCCGCCCAGTTGCTATTCTCCATCATATATCTTGCTCTGTATACGGCCGCAGTCAACTCTGCCAATGCATCAGGAGTATTGGATGGTGCTGAGATTGCGCTCTACATCTTCACCTTTGCCTATGTCTGCGACGAATGCCTCAAATACTACAAGGCTGGCTACCACATCCTGGGATTCTGGAATATTTTTAACTTCGTCCTTTACTCCTTCTTGACTGTATCATTGGTTCTACGCATCATAGGGCTGGCATACAGGGACAACGATGATGTGCATAAGAAGTACAACGAGCTCAGCTATAATCTGCTTTCTTTTGTTGCGCCCATGTTTTGGTCCCGCCTCTTGCTCTATTTTGACAGCTTCCGGTTCTTCGGCGCCATGCTAGTTGTGCTGAAAGTTATGATGAAGGAATCCCTCATCTTCTTTGCCTTGCTTATCGTTGTCATCATTGGCTTCCTCCAGGCATTCATCGGTCTGGATATTGCTGATGACAACATCATGGGTGATACCTGGTTCATCATTGAGTCTATGCTCAAGGCTATTATGCAGAGTCCCGAGTTTGATGGTTTCGAAGATTTTGGACATCCATTCGGTCTGATTCTTTACTACTGCTTTACTTTTGTTGTCATGGTAAGTTGGTAATAATCAGTCCTTGAGAGTCAAGTTAACTCAATATTCTAGATTATTCTCCTCAATATCCTCATTGCACTTTACAACTCGGCCTATGAGGATATCTATGAAAATGCCGATGATGAATATCTCGCACTGTTCGCGCAAAAGACAATGCAGTTCGTTCGAGCTCCTGATGAGAATGTTTATATCGCCCCTTTCAACCTTGTCGAAATCGTCATTTCGGGACTACTGGAGTGGTGGATACCAAAGTCCACATACGAGTTCATCAATGACTGCGTCATGGCTACTCTGTACTCCCCTCTTCTTTTTGTTGCAGCCATTTTCGAGAGGCGATCTGCACGAAAGATTCGACACAACCGCTCACGAGGCGAGGAGGATGACGACCAGGTCAATGAGTGGGAACAATTTCACGAGGACCTTGACATGGAAGGTGAAGGCTGGGCCAAGACTTGTGAGGCTGTCAAACCTAACGTGGAAGACGAGCCTGCTGTCATTGAAGTCCGCAAGCTGCGAGCTGAGATGGAAGAACTCAAGGCGATGCTTTCTCAACTGACAAACAGCAAAGGAAGTGATGATGAGACCATAACGGGCTCAAAGAGTGGAAAGGAGCCAGCCACTGAAGACGACGATACCCAAGAGACACCTGAGGCTGCTGAGACCCAGGATGCGCCAGACACGTCGGATACACCAGAAGGGGAAGGGGCTTCTGGTGATCAAAAGCAGGGCAAGAAAAATAAGAAGAAAAACAAGAAGAAGGGCCCGGGTGGACCCAGTAACTAGAGGTCGGGGTCAGACAGTGGTTAAGATGTTTTGCAGTACGTTGATAGGGCATTTTTGGCGGAAGTGTGTTTCCTTTGACTCTTGCGCGGCTTTGAAGGCCTCATCTAGTAGTATATATGACTGATTCAACAGTGGTTAACGTTGCACTTTTTCTTATCGAAACCATGCCCAACATACAGAACTGTATGCCTGTGACTTGAATGGACAAATTCTTTGGTTACCACCGGAGTTGGGGGGATTAGACTCAGGATTTAAGTCTTCGATGTATCGTTAGAGGACTTCTATTAAGGTAGATAAAACGATACATTATGAGATTCGTTCCAGGGCACGCCGGTTCGAAAAGTCTTAGTATTCACATAATATTATAGGAGTTTCAACATTCCACGTTCATCTCGCGCCTGCTGTTTGATCTCTCTCGCAAGGAGGTGCAATGCCGGGAGAAGTTCTATTGAGAGTGCTGTTTAAAAACAGCCCCTATACAGCTATGTATCATGTTGCAAACGCCAACAAAGGCTAGCCTATCATGCTCATTACCTGGAAGACCACAAGCCAAGCCAAGCGTTCTTAGTAGTAAATTTGGACCGCAAGGTGTACCATAATAGGTGTAAGCATTCGTTGATTGGGTTGAGTCTGGGATGGTATTGGAAAAACATATTTCTCGGTCTTGCCCTTGGACATCAAGAATCCCATAAAGATGATTCTTATGCTTCGCGAGGTTGACATCTGGTCCTTTCTACGCAGATCCGTCTTTCGTAGGGGGGAACATTCGCCTAAAAAGAAACTGTCAGTATGTGGATGAGGCATCAGGTATAACAAACTAACGGAATCGTCTCGTTGTACGCGTTCACATCGGGAGCAACAAACGTGACAAATACCACTCGGGTGAGCTTGCTTCCCTCCTCACTCTCAAGGAATTCTCTCACAGTCCTGCAGGCAATCTTAGCGGCAGGAAGGTTGGGAAACCCGTAAACGCCTGTGCTGATGGCGCTGAAACCGATCGTGGTCACGCCGTTCTTGACGGCAAGCTTCAAGCTTTCGCGGTAGCAATTGGCGAGACTCTCGCTGGGGTTCGCGTCCGCAGCGTACACAGGTCCGACAGTGTGAATGACATGCTTGGAAGGGAGGTTGTAACCCTTTGTGATGACGGCCTCACCAGTGTTAATGGGGCCGAGGGTCTTACACTCCTTAACCAGGTCAGTACCGGCGGCCCTGTGAATGGCTCCATCAACGCCCCCTCCGCCTAGTAGAGATCTGTTTGCGGCGTTGACGATGGCATCGAGGCGAAGCTTGGTGATATCGCCACGAATCAAGCCGATGCGCTTGTTGATGGAATCAGATGCAGGATAGTCAGGGTCGCTTCTTGATGAGAGATGGGCCTCGGACAGGGTAGAATCAGGGTCGCGATAGAGGGAGGCGAGGGTTGGAATCTCGCTGAGGCCTCTAGTAGCAGCCATTGTGATGAATCGTTTGGTGAGCATATACGGAGAAGAGCTATGGTGGGGTTGTTGATGACAATCTCGAGGGACTGCAGATGTGGTCAGAACGGAACTCTCGAGGAAACGATGGGGCATTCATGAACCTGGGAAGGCAGTATTAGATGCCCGTCTTCCTTTTTGCTGCAAGTGATACCAGGAGCCTTATCGCGTTCAGCTTTCGGTGTGCTATGATGCAATCGAGTACTCAGGTATGTATGCCTGGCTGGGAGAAAATAGCTTAACAAAGAACAGGGCTTAGTGGTTCAGTATCGAGAAGATGTGAAGTAGGGTAAGTCGAAGAGCACGGAGTTAGACTGCGTGATGGTCCTTGTTCTTTTCTTTGTTCTTGCAACTTGAGAAGGTGACAATGGGAAGCAATGACCTGGGGATGGGAGCTCCATGCCAGTGAATGACCATTGAGTTGACTTGATTGCCCTACAGGTGGGGCATGTTCTGGAAGCTTGGAATCTTTGGATGGTAGGGGCAATATCCACCATCTGTAGTGGGCCTGAGCTAGCATTACAGGGGGTTAGCAGAAAACCTGTTCTGCATGACAAAAGTTTCAAGTCAATGAACCTACCCTTTGCCCACCAAGTTCTTTTCGTCACCTTCTTCAAGTGCCCGAAGGTTTTTGTCACCCAAAGGGCTATCATGTTCCAAGGCTTCTAAATTACGATCGAACAAGCCTCGATCTCGCCTACCTACTCGCTAGGGATTAGTGTTCGATTGACGACTAAGCTACCTGCAGCGCAAAGAACTCTAAACCCACAACCTGGAATGCTCCAAGTCTTCCAAGTTGTTGGTTGGTAAAGAGCACATCCAGGCTGAAAAGTCCTGTGACTAGAGTTGCGATCCCGCACTTCAAGGCGCATTCCTCGGTCTTTAATGTTGGTGTTTTTGAGACACACGTAAAGGTCACGAAGATGCGTTTCCCGAAACTCTGTTTCAGTCAAGGATAAATAAGGACATAATGAGGCAATACTAAAACATGAATTCCGAATACCTAAAAACAGATCCAACAACATTCGAACCAAACACCAATACATATCTTCCCCAAGCCAACCCTTGTCACGGTCTCGATTCAAATCAAACCCCTTATTTGTTCATTGGTTTCCTTTTTCCTAAGCTCTGGGCACACTGGGCTTCTTCGGCTTCGACTTGTAAACATGTCTCCTGGCCTTAGGCGTCTCCAATTTCTTCTTCTTGGAATGAAGAGGTACCCAGCTTGACCTTCGCTTCAACTCATGTCCATTTTCTCTCGCCTCAGACCTTTCGAATGATGCGATCTTGCTAAGCAGCTCCTCCTCAACATCCGATAGTCCAACGAGTGTTGTTCCGCTACTGCTGATCTCTCTCGTTCGTTGCGCTTCGTCGTCTGATACGTCCGTCTCACTGCTGCTGTGATCAAAATGCGACAAAACTGTGGCCTTACGTCCTTGGTTTAAGCCGCCAGTCAAGTCAATATCCCGGCTGTCTCTGCGAGTTGGTGCTGTAGAAGATTGAACCACAGGTGTGCCCCCAGTTGCTGCAGGGGGCGGGCTCTGCCCAAGTTGATACTGTTTCTCCCAAGCTTGGGCAATATCTCCAAGAGGACCAACCACGAAAGAAGAGTCTTGGTCTTGTACCACTTCTCGAGGATACTCGTTGGCGAAGGAGGCGGGGTTTCGCATGGGTAGCGAGGCTTGGGCCATGTTTTGAAGATCTACCGTGAGGTTCTCACGAAGTGCATACGGGTGAGGCGTGATACCGTGGGCGACTGGTGGTCCGCCGGCAAGCCGATTGTTGACCCAAGCAGCCAGGTCCCCCGTACTGTTTGCTATCCATGCAGGGGGTTGATTCGGTTGGTGTTGAGGAAAGGGGGAGCTAGTTCCCGAGGAGAAAGCCGAGAATGGAGCATTGTTTGCTTTGAACTCCTCCAAGCTATTCAACGGCACTGCCTGGTTTTCGAAACCCATCTGCTGGAATTTGGGTGGAACCGGAGGTACCATGCCAGCTTGTTCTGCTGCTGCTTCTTTTAAGGTTGGGGCTTCACTCTTCAAGCGATTCGTGATGCGATTGAGCATATCGGTCTGTGCAGCGTTCTCTTCCTCTCTGAGCTGATGAACCAGCTTCTTCACGGCTTCGATGTCGAATATACCTGTAGATGGTCCTTTGATGCCTTTCTCATGGTCATTGCTGCCTCGATCATCATCCAGTGTTCCGGACAATCGCTGAGCAATGCTCAGCACGTTCGGGTCCTCTCCTGGGATGACCACTTTGTAACTTCCAAGGCTGAGTGCTTTCTGGAAACGGGTTTTGAACTCCTTCATCTTTTCCAGTTGGCTTCCTGTCAGTTTCATCATCTCCTTTTTTGCCAAAAAGTAGAATCTCTGATGGGGCTTGCGGTTGGACTTGCGTGCCATAGGCATCGATAACAAGAGGTCGCGCCAATTGTGCTCGTAGTTTTGGGTATCCAAATCTAAGAGTCGCCGAACGTCCTTGACTCTTCGGCCTAGGTTCCATATTCGATTGAACCACTCTGCATCGATGCTTTTGATTCCCCGATCAGCAATTCCAACAGGAGTCAACAAGTCGGTTATGTGTTCAATCATCCTATCAACTCGATCGCGCAACTCTTCATCATGCCCTTTACCAAAATGTTGGTAGAGCGGCCAACTTGAGGTTCCTGATTGGTATAATTCACATACCATGCTCTCGATGTGCATAAGCTCCCTTTCTACACGGCGTGTGAAGTCGATGAGTCTGGGTACCAGACGCTTTTCGTAGACCTCGAGACCGCTATATCGAGTATGTTGAGCCCAATCCTCTGGGTCAGAAGACAAGGTGTCAAGGGAAGCGGAGTGGGGGTCAGGATATCTTCCTCGTTGGCACTTTGCAACCTGCCACAAGTTGTGAAGAAAATCCAGGATGTTATCTTGGGCCTGGTCTTGAGATGCTTGATACGTGTGCGCTGAGATCTCACAGAGTATCATGAGTATTTCTCTACTGATATCGCGCCAGATTTGATCTCGATGGCCCCAGGTTATCATGTCAGTGCTGAATTGCTCATTCATTAAATCAAAGTCGCATGCTTCGTTGATCAGGTTGTTCAAATAACTCCTCAGCACAACATTTCCCCTACCGTCGAGCTCTTTCATGAAGTCTTGTACCCAGTCCTTGTCTTCCGGAGTGCCTAGAGTGTTCTCATCAAAGCCGTAAGTGTCATAAGCGTCATCAGCAGGGTAATAGGTGACTTTATGAGGCCTTTTGGATGATTCCCTTAGAGCGGCCGTGCCATATTTCTGCATCGCAACGTCCCAGAAAGGTTGTGTGAAATATTTCTGAACATCTTCGGTTCGAATATAGTGGGTGAGCCTTATATTTCGCGTCGGGGGGTACTGCAGCACAGGGGGGACATTAATGTCACCATCGGAATTTTGACTGAAAGCTACGAGACCAGCCGCTGTCTGGAGTAGTGCAGGTCTCAGGATACAAACATCTGTTGCAAACGACCAATAGCCGCCTCCCATGACCTATCGAATAATTTCATTAATCAACGCCGTTTTGGGGATCTATGACACGGTGTTTGCACTTACATGTTCTTCAAAGGCATGGCCAACCTCTTGATAGGGGTCTTCATCAAAATAAGGCTCGCCGTGGAGATCTCCGTGTGTGTGATCCTGCAATGAATGCAAGAGCTCAGAGCAGGCCTGGACTTGGTCACCTCGAGCTATTCCAACCGTGGCAGGATCAGCTAACCACTTGACGGGAATACTGGCACATGCATGCTGTCATACTATTAGTTGGAGAATAGCAATGAGTAGGTATCTGGACTGTCGCTCACCATCATCTCGTGGGCTATAGTAGTTGCGAGTATCAGGCTGGCCTTCAACTTTTCGCTGTTGCTGTACGTATCATTGATCAAGGGCCAAACCAACTCACAATCTATTGTGACCAGCAAGTTATATCCACGCGGGTATGTGGTACACGAGTGAGTAACGCCTGTGCAGTGATCTCTTTGTTGTTTTCCCTCAAATAGGAAACCGCTAGTTAGTTCTATCTCGATTGTTTGAAGCAGGGCCTGCCAAGTGGCTGCTCTGGGGTCTATACCACTGTCTATGACAGCTTTCGCCCCGTCGAGTCTAGACGGATCATCCGGGTCCAGGTCTGGAACGAATCTAATCTTATTATCTCGGTCTTGTCCGGGCTGATGCTGGAAAAGTCTGGGGCTGATCCACAGTCTGTTTGTGATGTCTAGGAGACTAGAGATAAAGGTGTCGTCCATCCCAAGCAACCGCGATGCGAGTTGGATGGCCGGCTGCATCGCACTCCACACTCTGTCGTTGGTCTTCAACGATTAGCATCATAAGGTTTTGGTGATTGGTTCTATACACACCCTCGCGTTCCATTCTTCACGTCTCCCATTGAGGGTATATATCAAACGAGGCTCATCAGCCGTTTTGCCATGGTAACTGGTGTCGACCCATCTTTCACGCTTGAAAAGTCTTCAGGGACATGTCAGTGCCAACTCAAAGAGCCGATATATCCAACCTACTCTGAAACCTGACCCCTGAGGCTGTCAAACCTGGTATCGCACATCGAAAAATACCCCTCGGCTTGTAACTGAGGTTTGTTAGACATGGCTAGAGAAACGAAAAGAGCAAGAGGAGATGCGAGTCTATGTACTCACTTCATCCATGGTTAAGCTCCCGAAAAGGATGGTCTGCCAGTTTTCATCTATGACTAGATCTTCATACTGTTGCATGAATCGTTGTTCAGTTTCACCCAACTTTTTCATATCCGGCCTTGTCCTCTCCATGTAATCATCGACGTGCTCGTTTGCTGCCTTGGCCAAATCTTCGAAACGTCCAAATAGTTCCTTTCCATTTCGAATATCAGAGCTGGCAGGAAAGATCTCTCGACTCTCAGCTCGTGTGGGTGATGTTCTCGAACGGCCATCGGTTCGACCAGGAAAAATCCCGAATCGTTGAGCGTAAATAGTTGGTTTCTTGAAGTGGTCTCGAGGTAGAAGAGCTGGGCGTAGACGATCAAACACACTGTCTTTGATGTCAAAGAGGCTCGCATCTCGTTCAGGGCCTTCATCCTGCCAGTTCGGATCTGTCCAGGCAGGGCAGTAATGGACAAAATCTAAACTCCCACCTGGGGTTGGGGTTACATTTCTTGGGCCAGAGGCCATAGTGAAGTGAAAGGAAAGGGATACTCAGACGCAAGGCACAATGGAACGGTCACGAAAAGGGACATGAAGGATAAGTATAGCACAGTAAGAAACTCGAGGGGAGGTCAGATTCGGTATGCCATAATATTCCAAAGAGGCACCATCCACAGATATACGGACGCGGGTCATGAGACTTCATAGAATGTATTTTCCAAAAATAGGGCTTCATCTGGGACAAAGAGATTGACTTCAAGACAATTTCTCACAAGCTCGATTCAAAGTGGGATCCGAGGCGCCAAGACTTGGATAACAAAGCGATATCAGCCATTAGGCCATTCAATCCCCATTTTTGAGCCATAAAAGGGCACTTTCTGGTGTGTTACTGGCAACAAAGAACAGTACATGTCGAAACCATATCTGGCTGATACTGCAAAGAGCCTTGGGCGATCAATGCACCGGCCTAACACTAGGCAGAGGAGTACGAGTAGAATAGAACAAATTACGCTGTATATTCTGAAACGAAGAAGTCAAAACGTATTGACGCCTCTCCATGAATTTGATCTACCTTTTGGAGGCCTCGAGCCTGTTTGAATAAGTGGCCTATTCGAGATGCAAAAACATTCCGGAGTAGGTGGGAGAGATAACATTACAGAAACTGCGGTGAGTTGTGGGGGCATAATCTGGGGTCCTGGGGCCCCACGATATCGATCCTATGTACTTGGTGAAGCTTGGATGTGAAACCCTCGTGGTTCCTATCATCTGGAGCACTGCCCAAGTATCTTTCTTTGTTCCGCGACCCCTTAAGCATAATTCATCCCTGCGTGCACTTCTTCTTTGTGTCTCTGGCTGAAAGGGCAACAGCCACTAGAATAAGTGCCGTAGCAACGTGGCGGAGAGAAAGGCTGGGAAAGGCAGCATCTTGTGTTTAAAGCCGGTCCCACCAACCATGATCAACTAGGGTCGAGGGGCAGAAACCCGAAGGGGACTAGGGTGCACATATCGACTTGGACTCGGCGTGGCCGTCGTTTGTTGGGTGAAAGCTTTGTTGCAACGATAAAAGGTCACACGGAGCGGTGCAAAGGTGTTGTTGGTATTCTCGTCAGGAGACACCAAGTTGACTACCTCGGCCTTTGTAGCTCAAACGAATCCCGAGGCATCTAAGTTGGATATATGCAATGTAAAAGACTATAAGATAAGATGTATCGTGGGCTTGGATGGATCGATGGATATATAAGTTGACGAGCTGCCTCTCTACATCAACTTACCAAGACTATGGGACAATCGCACAGAGAATGGATGATGAGTCCTTCTTATTTTCACTACATAAACCATTACTCTATTGGCATTTGGCAGTAGCCCAAGCTTATTGTGGTAGTACTCTATTGCCTTCACGATCGAGTTTCAGGAGAAAGATCCGAAATCTAGCCAATAGTTGTATAGACTTGTGATACTCTAAGACATGACCAAAGCGTTCCGGAACTTTCTGGGATAGAGTAGCCAAATTTGCGAGTTCCGAAACTTGACTCGATAAGAGATCTCAGCCCAACGGTTCGACGGGTGTACCGAATAGAGGAGCGAGTCAATATGCTTCCTAGGTTTCAAGACTGAAGTATGGAGTACGAATACGGGAACAAAAACACGGGGCGCTGTAGAATCCCTTTCGTCACTTGCCACAGAGCTTAAGAAGATACATGGCGACTTGTGATGACGGCGAAATAAAATTTGGGTATTGATGCCGCTTTGGCGGCCTGGCTAACATACGTGGCTAATCACCAGAGTTCGCAGGAGCCGTTCCACAACTGGTAGGCTATTTGTCTCATTACTCGTGAACGAACTTTGAAACATCAATTTAAATTAATTCTTTGAACTTCTACAACCAAATGCTCATTTTCTTCTAGGTCGTCAGGGAGACGGCGGGAAGTGGATAGCTCAAGTGGGCAAAAATATTGGAGCATTGTAGGTAGTGAAGCCATGATAGCAACGATGATCCGACAAAATCCGCTCCTGGAACCAGAAACAAACCCAACATTACGTTGCTATAGATCTGTTCTCATTGTGACCTCAACACAGTAAATAGGTGTCTAGATGCCAGTTTTCTGAACAGATCACCTTGGGCAATAACTATAGCCAACATATCAAGACAATAAACTGGATCTCGTGCATCTTGACATATTTGCCTCCTTCGCTCATACAGGGCAGCAGAATGCAATAGAGAACCCACTAGAGGTAGCGTCGGAGATGCCTCCCAATGCTTTTCGAGACAAAAACTCTACACCGCCCTCATCCACTTACCATATCAGGCTTAGCCCCCACGCTGATAAAACCGATAAGCTGAGTCGCCGCCACAGACGAGTTAGAAAAATGGAGGGGCAGGAGGGGTAACCCAGTGGTTTTCCTGAAAATTTTGGTGCCCAGAGGCAAACTATGTTGGAAAAAATTTGTGAGCGCATAAAAAAATTGGCCCCTCTCTTCTTTTTAACACTCCATCTCCCTCCCTCCATCCTCTCACTCCCATTCTCTTTCTTCCTCCTCCATCGATCTCCGGTCGTCCTCCTCCAGACGAACCTCTCTTACTTTCTTTACTCGCGTTCTAGTTTGTTCTTCGGACTTGCCTCCATTGAACGAACACCGCTCCCTCATCCAAGAGGAATTTCCCATCATCGCCGAATAAATCAGAGTCGACTCCTCCATCGATCTCTGTAACCTCGACGACCTCTTTTCTTATACCCCATCAAAAAAAGAAAAACCCCATACATCGACATCATGCCTACCGAGAACCAGCAGTCGATCAAGGTCCTGGACGAGCTTTTCCAGAAGCTCACCGTGTCCAAGGAGTCCGCTGATATCAAGGAGTCCTCCAACGAGCTGGCTTCTTTCATCAACGGCCGCATCGGCGACCAGGTCGTCCCCGAAAAGTAAGTCTTAGCCTTTTTTGCGATGCCATAATTCGGCTTTTCCCATGGGATATTACTGGGCGCCTCAGGGCTAGTGTTTAGTCTACACTAGACACTTACCATTCCTGCTACCCTCGGTTTTCGCCTCATTTTGGTGCAGTCAGCATCCGAGCTGATGTGTCCCATGCATGTGAGACGAGGAACTGGGAAGCGGCTTGAGTGGACGGTATCTTGCGTCGGACAAGACGAGTAGCAGAACTTTTTCTTCCTCTCGTTTGCCCCTCCACCGATTGGGCGCCCAATCCTACCCCGCCAGATTTGGGCGAAGGGCGATTTTGCGCTAGGCCCATTTTTTGGTTGACCCCTCCAGCGAAAAGCATCCACAAAAAAAATTCTTGTGCTAACCATTTTTGTCTACAGTGTCATCGAGGGCCTGAAGAAGCAGCTCGCCAACAAGAAGGATGCCGCCGCTCGTGAGAAGGCTTGCGTCGCCATCGAGGCCATTGCTTCCCACTCCGAGGTCTCCGCTTCCGTCGAGCCCTACCTTGTTGTCCTCCTCCCCAGTGTCCTTGCCGCCGTCGGCGACAAGATCACCGCTGTCAAGAATGCTGCCCAGAGCGCCGTTCTCGCCATCGCTGGCGGCATCAACGCCAACGCTGTCAAGGCTGCTCTTCCTTACGTCATGGAGTCTATCCGAACCGCCCAGAAGTGGCCTGAGAAGATGGCTGCTCTCGACTTCGTTGAGGCTCTGGTCAAGAGCTCTCCTGCCCAGCTCGCCTACCGTGTCCCTGAGCTCATTCCCGTCATCTCCGAGTCCATGTGGGACACCAAGAAGGAGGTCAAGGAGCGTGCTTACAAGACCATGGAGCAGCTTTGCCAGCTGATTGTCAACAAGGATATTGAGCGCTTCATTCCCGAGCTCATCAAGTGTATCGCCAAGCCTGAGAACGTCCCCGAGACCGTTCACTTGCTCGGTGCCACCACTTTCGTCACTGAGGTCCAGGAGCCTACTCTTGCCCTCATGGTTCCCCTTCTGGATCGTGGTCTGGCTGAGCGTGATACCGCTATCAAGCGAAAGTCCGCCGTCATTGTTGACAACATGTGCAAGCTTGTCGACGACCCCAACATCGTTGCTCCTTTCTTGCCCAAGATGATGCCAGGTCTCCAGAAGAACTACGAGAACTTGGCTGACCCCGAGGCTCGTGACAAGACCAAGCAGGCTCTTGACACCCTCACCCGTGTTGGTAACATCAAGGACGGTGTCATCCCCGAGGCTCGCCACGACGGTGCCATCAACGTCATCCTCCCCAAGGTCAAGGCCGCCCTCTCCCCCAAGTTCGCCAACTACGTTGAGAAGATGGGTCCCGTTGCTGAATACATCGCTGCTATCGCTGGTCAGCTTGTTGACGAGAAGGAGACCGAGTCCATGATCTGGGTCGACAACCTCAAGGCCTATGTCTCTGTCATTGCTGGCATTGACAACTCTGAGTCCCTCGTCGAGGCCATCCGCAAGACTGCTCTCCCCGGTGCCGTCGCCGAGGCTGAGGCCGAGGAGGATGAGGAGGAGGGTGAGGATCTTTGCAACTGTACCTTCTCTCTTGCCTACGGTGCCAAGATTCTTCTCAATCAGACTCACCTCCGTCTCAAGCGTGGTCAGCGTTACGGTCTTTGCGGTCCCAACGGTTCCGGAAAGTCCACTCTCATGCGCGCCATCAACAACGAGCAGGTTGAGGGTTTCCCTAAGCAGAGCGAGGTCAAGACTGTCTTCGTCGAGCACGACCTTGACTCCGCCGATACTGAGATGACCACCATTGACTGGACCATGAAGAAGCTTGAGGAGGCTGGTGTCACCACCACCCAGGCTGATGTCGAGAAGCAGCTCAACGAGTTCGGCTTCACTGAGCAGATGATCAAGGGTGAGATCAGCGCCCTTTCTGGTGGTTGGAAGATGAAGCTCGCTCTGTGCCGTGCCGTCTTCGAGGCTCCCGATATTCTGCTTCTTGACGAGCCTACCAACCATTTGGATGTGAAGAACGTTAAGTGGCTCGAGGAGTACCTCATCAACTCCCCTTGCACTTCTATCATCGTCTCTCACGACTCTGGCTTCCTCGACAACGTCTGCCAGCA